AAGATGGCAAAAAAAGGTAGCAAAAACAGCTAGATTATAAAGCAAATGTAGAAAACTAAAAACAGGAACATGTCTGCATTGGTCCCAGGAGTTCAACAGATTCGTAAAGCCACTTAGAGAGATCAAGGTCGAGAGCTTCAGATCTTTTTGTAAGATATTCCAGGAAACAGGAGCGGAGTAGGAGAAGGCCCTATTGCCTAGTTCAGTCCTCACTGTGTGTAAGGACTCCTTAAATGTGTTCTATTTGCAGATGATACCACATTTTCTTTATTTGGGTAAAGATATAGAACGGATGTTGGAGTTGATGCAGACAGAATTTATAAAAATACAAACTTGGTTTAAACTTAATAAATTATCATTAAACTTAGATAACTAACTATATGATATTCAGTAATAGAAAGAGAACTGTCGATGTTCCATTTAGAGTCTAGGGTGTTGAGATTTGTAGAGTTAGTGAGGTGAAGTTTTTGAATGTTATCATTGATGAAAAGCTGACATGGAAACATCACATACGTTATGTCAGAATAAAAATAGCTAAATCTATTGCAGTACTGTACAAAGTAAGGGAGTTATTAAATGATAAACTCTGTATATGTTGTATGATGCAATAATTGTTCCACACATAATCTAATGTATTGATGTTTGGGGGAAAGCATGTAAAATAATTATAAATCCTATTTTTGTTTTACAAAAAAGAGCTGTAAGAAGCATTTCAGTCACAAGTTCATTATTTTATCAACTGAAGTTATTGAAGTTCCATGATTTGGTAGATTATAGTATTTTATTAGTTATGTATAATAACACATTACCTTTAAAAATCCAATTAAAATTTGTTAAAAGAGAGAGTTGTTATAATCTTAAGGGGATAGAGATATTTGTGAAACCTAAATTTAGAACTAGTTTGAAGGGACGGTCTACTTCAATCCAAGGAATTAGATTATGGAATAATCTGGAGAGTGATGTTAAAAATCCCAGATCAATGTGTATGTTTAAGAGAATGATCAAAGTTGGTTTGTTTAAAAAAAAATGAAATAGCTTAATGTGTATTTGTACGAACTGTTGCTCGAGAAGGAGTTGTTTATTTTGTTTTTGTTATCTGAAGATTATTACTGTTTGAATTATTGTTTTGAAAAATAGAGTTTTGTACAATTCTGAACACACTCCTCTTGAATTTGGCAATGGTTCCCCTCACCAACTGGACTGGAAACTTCTTAGTGGAGATGGTTTCAAGACCTCCCGATGGTCAGTGAACTACTGGTCCTTTTCTACACCTGGAGCACAACTTGAGTGAGTACTGGGAGTTTCCTCAGACAAACTGATAAATCAGAAAATCTGAAGAAAAAATATCAAAGTTCAATAATCCAGGTTAAAAAAAAATCCAACAAAGTTCAGTCAGGTCATCTGGACAGTTTTTTGTTTGTTTGTTTGTTTTTTGTTGAGACATTTTGTCCTTCATCTAAATGACTTCATCAGTCTGAGGAGCCACAACAAACTCAGTCCCACACGCATCACACTCACATTGTGGACCAACCAGTTTGCTGGTGATAAGATGGTTTCTGGGACCCGCCCTCTCCCCCGTCGACTCCTCTGATGCAGCCATAGACAAAAACATCAAAGTTCATGTTTGATAATCCAGGTAGAAAATCCAACAAAGTTCAGTCAGGTCATCTGGGCGGTTTCTATTTTTGTTGAGACATTTCGTCCTTCATCGTCTCAACAAAAAAAAAAAAAGAAAACATTCAGATGACCTGACTGGACATTGTTGAAGAAAAAATGTTAATGTGAAAATCCATTTACTTTACCCACTTTTTCCTTTTCAGAGCCCTGAAAGCTGGTGCAAGAGGTGGGACACACCCTGGACAGTCACATCACAGATCACAGAGACAAATGATCATTATTCAATGATCACACACCAAGGACAGTTTGGAGTTAGATTAACCTGGTCAGTGGGAGGAAACAAACATGCACACTTTCACAGAACGGAAGAGGCATACCTGCATCATCTAAAAAAATCATGCCAGTTTTATTTATTCACTAATTCTAAAAATATTGACTAAAGTGGACATTTGATTTTGTATTTTGGTCCCTTGTAAAAATGAGTTGTAACACTTGTTTTGTACATTTAAGACTGTGGACCTCTTTTGGTGAGAATGTTTAATCTTAAATGCATTACAGATGTTTTTTTTTTCTTATTTTGGAAAAAAAAAGTGTTAAAATGAATTTCAGTGTTGAGTGTGTGGGGTGGAGAGGACGTCGACTTTTTGAGGAAAAACGTTTGTTTTTTTTTGTCTCAGGGTGGAAATACTGTAAGTTGCTGACAAAGAATACTTCATTAAGTGTTTTTTTTTTTTAAATATAATTTTTCTATGTATAGTCATTTAACATGAAATTAAATCTAAACAGTTTTTTTTTTCTTCAACAACAACTTTGACCCTGTTTTGGAACTTCATGCACCACCGTTGACACAAGAAGAAAAAAATCTGTAGCTCTGCCACTGAATTGGAGGCAGTGCAATAACTTTACACCAGCAGTGCAGCTGTTCAGCTAACGTCTTCCAAAAGAGCGGAATAAACAAGTTTTGGTCAGAAAGTTTCACTCCCAAAAAAAGGTTTTCCATTTGTCCGTTTTTGAAGCTGCCAGATCATGAGACAAAACTGAAAATGAAATTCAACTCAAGCTGCAGCACGACAGTTATCGGCAACTTTCCCCCAGTTATACTAAAATTTCTACCTTTGTACAGTAAATTAAGTTATAGTGAACTGGGTTATCAGATAAAACTGGTTTAATAAGGCATCAAACATCATAAAGATTTAAACATCAACATGCACATACAATAACTAATGTTCAGGAATGCACCCTCTACACAGAATATTGTACAAAATGTGCTTTGATTCTATGAACTGGTGTATTCTAACATTTGGTAAACCAACAAGGAAACTTGTTATTTATTTATGGTAAAACTAGAAGGATTTCAGCTGAATTATTGTTTATTACATCTGATCAGTTTGCTTGAACGTGTCCTTGCTCAGAGGCAACTACTGATACCTTAGATATTTTATCCAGAGGTGGAAAGAGTACTGAAAATTTGTACTCACGTACAAGTACTGTTACACTGCTTAAATTGTACTCAGTTACAACTTAAAGTACTGGTGTTATAAAATACTTAAGTAAAAGTACAAAGTACTCTTCTCAAAAACTGCTCAGAGTATTAATTACTTTCTAACCTAATGGTGTTTTCTTGTGTTGTCAATAAAAGGCATTCAGTTTGATTTACTGTATATAATCGCTACATTCAAGTACATTCTCAGACGCTCAGAAGCTCCGTCTTAATTGAGTACCAGACAAACTGATGGCAGTGACAATATCTAAGATCTTTGCATACTTAGCCAAACTAATAACCCACACATACAAACAATAAAACATAATATCATACAGGTGTAAAACCTTGTATACATGAATATGTTTTTGAGATTAGATGCTGAAGTCTTGTAGCTGCTATCACCGTAGAGATCAAACAAAGTTTGCATCTGGACTCTGTCTCCTTTTCACCCTCTGTACACGAAACATTCCTCCAGGTACGGCCACGGGCACTCGTCCTCAGCCTGTACCTCTTCATTTTCTCTGTTGACAGTGTTGTCCTCTGTCTCCATTTTGTCTTTTTCTCCAACTCTTCGGTCCATAAATGACTCTCTACTCTACAGAGTTGTCCTTTGCTTACGTCATAGGTAACTGGCACGTTTGTGATCTGAGAGCCTTATTGGCTACAAAGATGCAGATGAACGGTTTGAATATTAAATCAAATTGTGGCCGTACTCAGTAGCGACTTCTGATTTTAAAAGTAGAGAAGTATGTTACATGGTCTAAATTGTACTTAAGTATGAGTAAAATTACACATTTGAGAGAAATACTCATAAAAGTACAAGTACTCCAAAAATCCACTTAATTACAATAATGTGAGTATGTGTAGAGTGTTACTTCCACCCCTGATTTTATCAAAATGTTTTAATAAATAATTAGGCCTACTACAAAGATATAATGACAATTTAATAAGTATCAATGACTTTTAAAAGTGATAATTAGTTGTGAAATCAGCAGTTCATGGTTTTGAAACAAATACCATTTAAATATAATTGTTTATGACACATAACTTATAAAATATTAAAAATTGCTCACATAAAGTGATGAAAAATTGCCTTCATAGTTGTTTAGGCTGCTGTCATTCTTTGACTTTGCTGCTGTTATTTTGTGGCTCAGAGTGAAAAGGCTGAGATCCACCAAACGATCCATCACCGTTTTGTCTCATGCAGCCATGCTACAGTGACCACCTGCATGTTAGCTTTACGTAAAACCTGTCAGGATCACAGGTGACTCTTTGGCTTTGGACGGCGGTTGATGAGGAACTGTAACTTGTAAGAAATACAGTAATCTCGAGTTTCATTTCCTCCCCCTGTGTCTAACCAAAGAGAAGTGAGATGTTGGAACTAGAAGTGGGGGTGTTTTACAGTTACACTGCATTATGTCACTCTTGTAATGAAAATGAAGTTACTCAAGCAAAAGGATGTAGTGTTTGTTTTGTTCTATTTTTGGTTTTCACTGATTTTTGCAGCACAATACAGCAACTTGCACGTTAGCCCATGTTCAGTAAAAACAAAAAGTATTTTACAAAAAGAAACAAACATGAAATCAAACATAGGTGTAGAAAATAAAAGGAATTACTTTGTTGTGATTGAAAATATAATAAGAGCAGATCATCTATAGTAGGCTTTCTGTCATGACAGACAATCAACTTAAAAAGCTTACTTTAAAGTGCTTTAAAGGGATTTTAAATTCCTATGATGACTCATAATCTCCACAATTATTTTTTTCTCATTACAATATAATTTCAGAGTGAAATATGTATGAAAACAGGGAAAGAAAAAATATCTACCTTAACAAAGTATTATGTTTGACAAACCGACGTCACATAAAATATTCTACAACAGTTTCCTGTTAAAGAGAAATTATATAAAACTTTCACTCATGTTGTTGTCATAAAATTTAAGGTTATCTGATGACAATGCCGTTCTCATCTGGTTCCAGAACAGGGGTTGGGCCTTTGGGTTTCTTGGCCAGGACAGCACCGACTTTCTGCACAACCTCTTCCTCATCTGAAGGTACTTCAGTTTCGGAAACATTTCATCCAGCAGAACCAGCACAGCTGCATCAACCTTTATATGGAAAGTTTCAGAGACAATGTGGGGTTGTGAAAAGATGACATCATCTCAAACAGTGTAAGCGTGACATCTAAATAATATTAGAGAAAAAAGGCTAAATTTACCTTCTCGTCCAGAAGCCTTTGCTGAACCATGAAGAAAGCTTGACGGATCACGCCATTTACCAACTCACTTCCATTTGCCCCTCTAGACAGTACAAACACTGTCTTCACACTGCTGTGGACAGCATTATGTAGGTTGTCAATACATGAAAGCCCAGGAATCCAGTCTCTTTCTTCCAAGCAAAGAGAAAACCTCCTGTTGTCCGAGTTCTCCAGATTGACAGTCAACTCATTGTAAACCCAGTCCCTAACAGCTGAGTTCCTGGTGTCAAACACAACGAAAGCGTCATAACAATGATCTGAATCACTACCAGGCAACTGGGAATAGCCTTTGAGTCCTGCCCAGAGGATCTGCAAGCAGTACCACACATCCCAGCCATAGAGATGCTTCAGCAGAGGAAGAACAGTGAACATAACAGCGAAGAAGGAAGAGAAGAGGAAGGCCAAGCTGCCATAGATTTCCTGGCAGGAACGCTGGTCCATGGATAGTAGAATATGTCCTTCTAGTGATTCTGGGAATTCACAACGCACAAGTGTCATTAAATAAGGAATCTTTACTGATGTGGTCTTTAAATAGTCTGCAAACCAGGATGTATTACAGTCACATTTAAATGGGTTCTCATGTAGAGTGAGTCTCTGAAGGCCGCTGCCATTTAGAAAGGGTGCAGGGAGGTGCTGATGGTTCACCTCTTTGATCTGATTGTGACTGAGAAACAGATACCGCAAAGACTTTGCTTCACTGAAGAAATTCTCAGGAATAAAAGTAATGTGATTGTGACTGAGGTCCAGAAAGGAAAAGTTGGCTCCAAACCGTATTGCTTTTGGAGCTAATTCATTCATGAGGTTATGACTCAGGTCTAGGTGACATAAACTGCTGAGGGTGGAGATGTTTTGCCAGGGAAAATACGTCAGAGGATTGTGGCTGATGCGCAGGCTCATAATGCTTACTGGGAAATTACATAGCACCTCTGAGGAGATCGACTTCAGATTGTTGTTGGAGATGTCAAGGTATGTGAGGTTTGTCAGGTTTTGGAAAAAATGTATGTAAATATTGTTTGCAGAACTCCACATTATGCCCAAATTATTTCCATAGAAGTAAAGGTACTTTAAAGACCTGCTCTTCAGCTGCTGATCTATCCGCATCTCAATACCATTGTTTGCCAGACTTAGTACTTCTAAACTGGACAGATTTTGAAGAAATTCAAAACGGTGGCCCATACCCTTCATTTTAAAATGAAAGTCATTGTTACTAACATCTAATACCTTCAGTGTGGCATTAAGTTCACTGAAAATGTCTTTATAATAAAGATCAAGTCTATTGTGAGACATGTTAAGAAATACCAAATGTTTCATGCTATCAAACAGCCCACCTCTCAATGTCTGGCTCATGTAATTGAACGAAAGGTCTAAGCAAACCACATTTTCCATGCCTAAAAACACGTTTTTGTTGAGCGATAAAATGTCATTCTGAGAAAGATCAAATGTCAGCTTATTTGAACAGTACTTGTGTTTAAAGTCCCAAAGTGAGGGAATTTGGCATACACCACCTTCCTTCCTTTCCAGCTCATTAGACTTAGTGGATTCCCAAACATCCTCTCTAGACACTGGTTCTCGATCAGTTATAATGGAAGGCCTGTCTTGGAAATTATGTGTATACGAGTTCTGGTTCTGACAGCTATCTAGCGCTGCAACCCCAAATGATGATGTTGAGCAGCATGGAAGGAAATTAAGCATGTTTTGGGAGAGGATTACAGTTGTAAGATTTGTTACTTTGTTTAGAGAGGTCAAGTTACACTTACTAATAAAGTTCATTCTCAGTTCTAGTAATTTTAGCTGTTTAAGTTTTGACAAAACTTCAAAACTCTCTTCCGAAAGCATATGGAAAAAGTTGCCACTCAGCAAAAGGTATTGCAAAGACGATATATTGCCAATAGAGGGAGAGAGGTTCAATTTAGGAAATGTTTTTAGTGGTTCATAGTTATAGATGAGACTAATCCAAATGAGGCTTGTCAGTTCTCCAAAAAAGGTGCCATTTTGCATCTCATATGCCAGAAGGTTGTCAGAGATGTCCAGTCCCTTTAACTTTTTCAGTGGTGTGAAAAGGCCCGTAGGAAATTTTTTCAGAGAGTTTCCTCTTAAGCTGAGGAAAACAATGGAGCTATTTTCAGAATAAAGTGAGTTTGTATGTAATTTCAGAGGCATATTTTGCGGGCAAGGAAAGCAGGGTCTTGCTGCATGGTCACAACGCTGACAGTTCCACTCCAAATTTAGGTACTTGAGGTTTATCAGGCTGGCGAAGGCTCCTTCTGGGACTTCTGTGATTATATTCTCTCTTAAATCAAGTACCTCAAGTGAAGGTGGCAACCACTTAGGAACAACTGTCAAATTATCATACCCCAATGTAAGGTTTTTGAGTTTAGGGAGTTTTCTGAAAACAGTCTCGTTTACGTAAAGAGATTGATTACAGGGGTTTGCATAAAAGCAGTTATAAGAAAGTAAGAGAACTTCAAGATTTGGAGTGTTTAAGGGGGCAACAATATTGACAATGCAATTATTTTGTAAATCAAGGACCTTCAAGTTCTCAGGTAACAGAGGTATTGAGGTGAGGCTGTTCCCTGACAGAATCAGAGATGTAAGATTTTGCAGGTTTTTGAAGACCTCTCGGTCTAGTTCCATTTTGCAATGGTCTTGTCCCGGGGTTCTCTGTTTTCCTGGCAGACAATTGCCCTTTAATTCCAGAGTGTTCAGGTTTGGGACACCTGCAAAAGCATGACGCTTCACTTTCTCTATCTTGGTCAGACTCAAATTGATGGACAGAACAAAAGTAGACTTAAAGTCAGGGACATTGGTGAGAGGTCTTTGAGAGCAGTCCACTTTGGTAGAATTCACATCAGCGTCACATGGGAAGAACATGATATCTAACGTCCTCCCTACTGTTACAAACTGACTGAGGAAAAGAAGTATCACCACATCCTGAGAAAACAAAATCAGATGAGCTGCTTAGTATTGGCTTAAAAGAGATTATTTAAGCACATTAACAAATTTATATAAAAAAAAACTGCATTGCATTCATGCAGCATCACACTATACGTGAAAGCTGCTCGAAATAACAGCAAATTTCTACTCGCATTTCTCTTTGTGTGATGGAGCAATACCACAAGTACATATTTTCCCATTGACTGAATGCAGTAAAATTTTTTGCTGTAAAAAAGTTTATACTTACCATAGCAGCGAAGATCTTAAAGTTAAAATCAGGATAAAAGTTAGCAGTGTTTAAGATCCAAGTGAAGAGAATGCAAGTTGAAAAGACTGTCTAACGGCTTGTGCAGTGAAAAGAAACCAGATGGCACGATGCGCACGCAGCTTCTTGCTGATGTAGGCTATAAATGGGTCTATTTATGCAGAAGTGAAAGCATATAGTCATATATGCAGCAGTGTGATACACACCATGTGACATATGTCATATTCATGAGGGACATCAAGAGCAGATTCGCTTTAAAATAAATAAAATACAAACGTTATACAAATCATTTTTAACACCAACATGCTCGATATAACACTGTTACAGTAGGCAGACAATAAAAAGTGATGGAGATAAAGTTGGATAACTTTCTCAGTTTCTAACTTTTCAATAAACATTGAAGATTTTGGTGTGGTGGGCATGTGAAGCCTCATGAAGCACTGCAGCATTTTTTACAATTGTGCCAAAAAGCTTCAAAGCTTCAGTGATGAAGACATCTGATGGACAAGTGGATCTACGAGCATGTCTGAAGCACTGTTTCAGTTCCATCCATCCATCGATCCATTATCTTTACCTACTTCTTCCTTTTCAGGCCACGAGGGTCACTCGTGCCCATATTCAGCTATCACTGTGTGAGAGACAGGAGACACCCTGGACAGGTCTCCAGTCCATCACAGGGACACATAGAGACAAACAACCATTCACTCTCCCACTCACATCTAGGGACAAGTTAGAGTTACCTGTCAGCCTAACATACTTGTTTTTGGTCTGTGAGAGAAAAACCTGAGTACCCGGAGAAAACCCATGCATGCAACGAGAGAACATGCAAACTCCACCCAGAAAGGCACCTGGCTGGGATTTGAACCAGCAACCTGCTCACTGAGAGGCGGCAGCTCTACAAATTGTGCCACCCTGTTTCAATCATGTGTCAGCAAATCAAGTAATGTTTTGTTCATTTATACAAAATAAAGACTGCATTTGCATTACACAATATAAATGTAAGAATTTTAGACACTTTCTACAGCAAAGTTCTTTATATAAAAAGTACACACACCCACACCCACAAGTGCTGGTCATAAAATTAGAATATCACTGATGAAAACATTGATTTAGTTCAGTAATTCCATTCATAAAGTGAATCTTGCATAGTATTATTATTTTTTTCCCATTTAACCTTTATTTATCCAGGTAGTCTCATTGAGCATATTAAATTCATTCAATAGACACATACTTATATATTTCAAATGTTTTTTCTTTTAATGTTGATAATTATAACAGACAACTAATGAAAGCCCCAAATTCAGTATCTCAGAAAATTTGAATATTGTGAAAAGGTTCAGTATTGAAGACACCTGGTGCCACACTCTAAGCAGTTGAGCTAATTAACGTAAAACACTTGCAAAGTTCTTTAAATGGTCTCTCAGTCTAGCTCTGTAGGCTACACAATCATGGGGAAAACTGCTGACTTGACAGTTGTCCGTCTTGGGCCTTCTTTGTCGCACCTTCCTCTTTATGATGCGCCAAATGTTCTCTATAGGTGAAAGATCTGGACTGCAGGCTGGACATTTCCTTAACCGGATCCTTCTCCTACGTAGCCATGATGCTGTGATTGTTGCAGAATGTGGTCTGGCATTATCGTGTTGAAAAATGCAGGGTCTTCCCTGAAAGAGATGACGTCTAGATGGGAGCATATGTTGTTCTAGAACCTGAACATAGTTCTCTGCATTAATGGTGCCTTTCCAGACATGCAAGCTGCCCATGCCACAGGCGCTCATGCAACCCCATACCATCAGTGATGCAGGCTTCTGAACGGAGCGTTGATAACAACTTGGGCTATCCTTGTCCTCTCTGGCCTGGATGACATGGCGTCCCAGTGTTCCATAAAGAACTTCAAATCGTGACTCATCTGACCACAGAACAGTCTTCCATTTTACCACACTCCATTTTAAATGACCCCTGGCCCAGTGCAAACGTCTGAGCTTGTGGAGTTTGCTTAGAAATGGCTTCCTCTTTGCACTGTAGAGTTTCAGCTGGCAACGGCGGATGGCACGGTGGATCATGTTCACTGACCATGCTTTCTGGAAGTATTCCTGAGCCCATTCTGTTATTTCCTTGACAGTGGCATTCCTGTTTGAGGTGCAGTGACGTTTAAGGGCCCGGAGATCACGAGCATCCAGTAGTTTTACGGCCTTGACCCTTACGCACAGCAATTGTTCCAGACTCTCTGAATCTTTTGATGATGTTATGCACGGTTGATGATGATAACTTAAAAGTCTTTGCTATTTTACGCTGGGTAACACCATTCTGGTATTGCTGTACTATATTTCTACGCAACAATGGTGGAATTGGTGATCTTCTTACCATCTTGGCTTCTGATAGACACTGCCACTCTGAGAAGCTCTTTTTATACCCAATCATGTTGTCAATTGACCTAATTAGTGTTAAATGGTCTTCCAGCTGTTCGTTATATGCTCAATTTCCTTTTTCCAGCCACTTATTGCTACTTGTCCCAACATTTTTTGGGGATTTGTTGACACTGTGAAATTTTGAATCAACATATTTTTCCTTTAAAATGTTAGATTTACTCAGATTAAACATCTGATCTGTCATCTATGTTATGTTACAAATAAAATATTGACAGCCCTGTGATGGACTTGTGACCCGTCCAGGGTGTACCCCGCCCCTCGCACAGTGATTGCTGGACATGGGCACCGGCGTCCCCCGTGACCCAAAATGGAATGAACGGGTAAAGATAATGGATGGATGGATGAAAATATTGACATTTGCCATCTCCACATCATTGCAATCTGTTTTTATTCACAATTTGTTTAGTGTCCCAACTTTTTTGGAATTCGGTTTGTATATTATACATATTATATATGTATTGTATATATATTAGTTGTAAAACTCTCATGTGGGGCGGCTATGGCTGAGTGGTTAGAACAGTCGTCCTCCAATGCGAGAGTTGGGGGTTTGAATCCACCAGCAGTCACATGTCGAAGTGTCCCTGGGCAAGACACTGAAACCCTCATAGCCTCTAATGTGTATCCAATCGGTGTATGAATGTGATAAAGCACTGATTATTCTTGTATAGATCTAGTAGAGTGATGTATGAATGGGTAAATGAAGGAACAGATTGTAGTGTAAAGCGCTTTGAGTATCTCAATAAGATAGAAAGGCACTATATAAGTACAGTCCTTTTACCATATGCAGTGAAAATATACAAGTGTAATTTTGAGATCCATTTTAATTGAGAAAAAAAATCATTTATTAAAACAAGAATTGTAGGTCCTAGGAAACACTTTATTTGGTGGAATACGATCAAATACTGTAGATTCCACACTTTTGAGTGCAGTTTACTGAAAACTGCCAAACTACACTTAATTTAATTCCCACAACTCGATTTCCTCACAATGAACATTATTAGGAATAATGATGCATCTTAAATAGTTTGTGCACTTTGTGCACCAAAGTATTCAAATCTGTGAAACTGTGCTTGGCTCAGAACACACTGAAACTTTCTGAGTGTAAGGATGGTACTTTTCTGTGGCCCGGTTTGTGTCTGTTTTCCTCGTGCTTCCTCATTAGTTTCCATTGTTGCCACCTGTGTCTCATCCCAGCTGTTTGTCATCATGTCTCGTCTTCTCCCAGTATTTAAGCAGTCCTATTCTGTCTTGTCCTTTGTCGGGTCGTCTTCGTTGGTACTCTCCCTTGGGTCTCCTGAGTCTTGTCCTGAGTCTTGCCCTGAGTCTTTCCCTGAGTCTTCCTGGTCCCTCGAGTTCCCCGTGTCTCTCTTGTCGCCTGAGTTCCCCGTGCCTAGTTCATGTAAGTTTTGCTGTTCCGTCAGCTTGTTTATTTTGTACTTTTATTTACCATTAAAATCCTTTTTTTGTATATCTGCCGAGTTGAGTCCCTGTTCTGCACTCTGGGTTCGCTCCTAACCGCAAACCATGACACTGAGCCAGTGTAGAGGGAAATGAAGAAGTGATGACGTCTGAATCTTCCTCAGTATAATTTGCTCATCATGAATTTGGTGACAACCATATTGATATTCCGTTTTAACTTCATTTGCAACCTCACTAAACTTTCCTGATTGTGTAAAGCTGTGGAGCTCACATATTAAACATCTTTAAGTACTCAAAACAATTTTTTGTAGTTTTTGATAAGAGAAGCCCCGTATATCAAATGACTACAGTGATATAAGATTATAACAAAACTGTTAGTGCAATAAGGGATTTTGTTATTTCTGCTCAAATCTCTCACAATTTGAACTCACTGTGATGCATTGAAAGATTTCTCAAACTGTTATGTAAAAATCAGTTTATTAAGTTCATTAAAACATACCATCAGAAAATAATTGATTTAGCACAAAACCATTACTCAGAACAATAACCCTTTGAACAGAATGATTATAAAACAAGTTTTATTGTTAATGTATACCCATCAAAGCTAAAAGAATGAAAAGCCCTTATACTGTTTTCTGTATTTAAAAGTAAGTAAGAATATTAACTGCATAAAAATAATTTATGTTGCATTAATGATGCTTTTATTCAAGTGTGATGTTAAAATTACTTTCTTTCCAACAGAGTAGTTAGATTACGAAGAAACGAGGTGTTTTGTCTGAATATAAAATTACAAAGCTTTGGCTTTATACTGGACTGCAAAACAGAAAAATAAAATCACAAAGTAGTGTCTTAATGTGATTAGTTGAAAGTTGACCATCACAGACTCAAATGTTGAATAATCCACAGAGCGATGTTCATAAACCCGTCAGATTCTGCGTCCACCTTCGAGAGAGAGTGGTTGTTTCCTGGGTACCACAGCAACCTGAGAAACACATAATAGAGCATTAGTGAAGGAGCAGCAGCAACTCCACTAATACACTGACTATACCAAGAAAAAAAAAATCATACAAGTGTCAGCTTACCGAACCGGGATCTGCTTTGCCTTAAGAGCTTTGTAGTACTCAATTCCTTGCTTGTTAGGTACACGCTTGTCATCTTCCCCTAAAGTAAGCAGCACTGGTGTTTTAACCTAAAAGAAGAGATTACATTTCATTAAGTCATGTGTAATCAAAGAAATGAGGTCATGAGCCAGAAACTGAGATTTCTAGAGATATTGTACCTGAGGTATGTATTTAATGGGAGACATGTTTAACATCTGCTCCCATACAGCAGGATCAGGGAGACAGTCTGGACTGTAGTCATAACCAGCCTCAACCATGCACCTGCAAAGATCACCAGAAAACATCAACAGGTGCATAGTGGTGGTCTCGATATAGTGTCTCCAACACATTTATGGTCAAGCACAAGATCTCACTCAATATATAAAAATGGGTCAATATATAAAACTGATTTTACAGATTTATTTTTGCATTTTTGGTGGAAAAAAATAAAAACCTGTCAACTACGTAAATGCACCTTCTTTACCAACAGTGCCTGCATTGAAAATTAGGCAGCCTGGGTAGCCGACAACAACAGATGTAGCACTTTAAAGGATGAAACAATAAAATGTATTAAATAAAAACACCATGGTTATTTGTTAATGCATGATGGACATTTTCACCATATGAATAATTTGGATAAGAGAGTAGGTTATGTTTATGTGGTTATGTGGTTATGTGGTCTGGTTATGTGGACAGGGAGACCTACCAGTCTGGGATGTCTGTGCTACCGATCATCGAGGCCAGATTGACGACAGGGTTGCGGGTCACACAAGCCTTGTAGAACCCTGGATATTGGCCAATTAGATGGCACGCTAGAAACCCCCCATGGGAGCCCCCAGAAACTGCCACTTTCTGAGGGTCAAAGTCACCGCATTTCAGAACACTTTCCACAGCGAACTGGTGGAAGAACATGCAAAAACAGACATTTGTGAAGCAGACTAAGATAAAAATGAGAATAAAACAAGAAAAATAAACAAAAAGTGTCGTTGCTAGTCGTGACTTGGCTACTACTTTTTATTAAATACAGAAACCAACTCTGTAAACAGAAGGATCATAACGCTACAACTAGTCATTTCTTCAGCAGAAGCAAAATATAATTTTTAGGATCATTTCTGTTTGATTTGAAAAACATTCTCATAGTTGAAAAGAATTGTGTTTGTATTTATTCCTAATGTTGGTTTTGCTTTTACCTGAACATCTTTGACATCCTGAACACCCACGTGGCCCGGTAACGAGAGGATGCTGTCCTGGCCGAACCCAAGAGAGCCACGATAGTTCACTAAAACATAACACACACAATCACAAGTAGTATTAAGACTGGAACTAACATTAGCAGTCAGTGTTGTAATGTTGTTGTTTTTATACAACTGAACACATGCATGAGTCAAAATGTTGCCTCGTTGTTGAAACTGGAAGAATGTGGGTTCTTGAGTTTTTTTGCTTCAAGACCTGCAAATTATTTGATCTTTACTGGCAGTTAAGACCTCTTGGGTCTGAGAAACTGAACTGAACGTCGTTGGATTATTTGATTGGTTAAACACACTCCAATGGCTCCTATTCTTAGCTCAGGGAGCCCAGTATAAACAGCCATCAGAACAGGCCACTCAAGCCAATAACCAAGATGTTGGGATATAAAACTTCAACTCAATTCAGTTTATTTATTTAGCGCCAAGTCACAACAGAAGTCATCTCAGGGCCCTGGACAGAAACATTTATATATAAAAATATTTATTTAACATTATTTATCAGAGGAGCAGACTGCTTTGAATTTAACTTCATCACAGACTCTCATCTTGAGCAAGCATGAAGGCGACAGTGGAAAGGAAAAACTCCCTCATGAGGAAGAAACCTTTAGCAGAACCAGGCTCAGGACAAGCGGTCATCTGCTTCAACCAGCTGTGTCTGGGAGGAATAGATACACAATGGCAGGACAAGAATCAAATGTTAAGATAGAAATAGTATAACTGAAAACTATTATAGGATTTATCAGAAAGGAAAGTCTTGAGTCCAATCTTAAAACTGGACAATGTGTCAGCCTCATGGACAGAAACTGGAAGTTGGTTCCACAAGAGAGGAGCCTGATAACTGGAAGATCTTCCTCCCATTCTGCTTTTGGAAACTCTAGGAACCACAAGTAAACCTGCAGTCTGAGAGTGAAGTGCTCTGTTAGGAAAATACGGAACAAGATCTCGAATAAAAGATGGAGCTGGGTTGTTGAGAGCTTTGTAGGTTATTTTGAATTCAGTTCTGGATTTGACAAGGAGCCAGTGGAGAGAAGCTAAAACTGGAGAGAGATGATCTCTCCCACTAACTCCAGTTAAGACTCTGGCAGCAGCATTTTGGATCAACTGAAGACTTTTTAAAGAAGTATTTGGACATCCAGATAATAAACCATTGCAATAGTCCAGTCTAGACGTGACAAATGCATGAACCAATTTTTCTGCATCATTTGTAGATAAGATGTTTCTAATTTTAGTGATATTACGCAGGTGGAAGAAGGTGGTTATAGTAATGTTTTTAATGTGGGGGATAAAAGACATGTCCTGATCAAAAATAACACCAAGATGTTTAACATTAGAGCTGGAGGACAGATTAATGCATCCAAGGACGGTGAAATACTGAAAAATTTATTCCTAAGATGCTCAGGTCCCAAAACTAAAACCTCAGTCTTGTCTGTGTTAAAAAGGAGAAAATTTAGGGTCCTCCAGGTTTTTGTCTTGAAGACAATGCAAATGTATTCCATGCTGTTTAATAACAGCATGGAATACATTTTAATAAAACTTACATTTAAGACAGACATAAAAATATTTTTTAAAAACCTAAATAAATTAGTACAATCTTAAACAGAAAACTAGTCATGAATGAATGAAAAGGCATGGAAATGTTAAAGAAATTAGTGCAATTTAAACATCTTTTTGTGCAGCTGTATAAAATGATATTAGCAGTTCAAAATGAGGAACAGGAGACCCAGAGTGACTGCTTCATACGTAAAACATAATACCACACAGAGTCACTGGAAGATGTGAAACAATGGCTGAACAGGATCTGTATCTGAACGGCATGCTGAGTACAGGGTTGCTACAGGAAAACCTCCGTACAGCATGGTCTGGGATTTAGGCACAAGAATATTGTGAATGCTAGATTAAGCAGCCTGTTTTATTAAAAGTATTGAACAAAAAATGAGGGCAAATTATTTGACCAGAAAACTTTAGAAGAAAAATATGTGTGGATTTTGAGGGGGGGAAGAACATTAATACAACAAAACAAGAACAAAAAAAGGCTCTGCAAGCATGAACTACCAAATAGGCAGGTCAACAAAAACTAAGAAAAGACTCGTTTGTACTTCTTGTATTTTCAGTTGCTTATGCGCTGCTTTTTTTACCCAGTTCTCACCAGCAGAAGTGGTTATAATTAGTAAAACATATCAAATAATATGTACAAATATTAAAACAAATGTCTGAATAATAAAAAGATTAAAATCTGTATGTTTTTATGCTCTCAACTTGTGCACGATTAAGAAAACTCTGCATTAAAAAATGCCACAAAACAAAAAGTTTATCTTGCACGACTTGTAAACTAAACAAAGACTGCACTGTTGGAGTGCATCAGATGAACGTGCACTGCACCTTTTCATGCAAACTTACCCAATAAGACAGCAAAGCCCATCCTGCACAGCACAGCAGGAGACAGAAGCCATTCAGCAACAAACACGGAGTGAGGACCACCTAACGAAAAAAAAAGTTATTAATGAAACAGAAAGCTCGTGTTCAATATATTTAAAATATCTTACATTTTTATAGAGTTATAGGCTCCGTTCCAAAAAAATACAGTATAATTTAACATTTTGTTTAACTCCCTGCAGGCACTCTTAACTAAACAGATCCCAAAAATGAAAACTTCATAATGTAAGTGTTTGTTGTAGTCAAATATGTTTGGCATTGGACAAAAAGACAAACATATCCTATCAATATTAGACAATTTTAATTAAATTATAATGAACAAAAACAATACTGAAAACAAACCATGAGGGCTGACAATTAGAGGCAGCTTCACGTTTCCTTTAAACTCCTTCGGTTTAATCAGCAACGCTTCGAAATCAAGGGCCGCTAGAAGACAGAAACATTTGTTAGCATCATAATATTTAACTCTGCGCACATTGCATTTCACAAGTTGAACAAATGCTAAAACTTACTTGATATCCTACAAATCTGAAGTTTTCACAAGTCTTCAGAGATTAAGTAAATATTTAGATGTTACACAAATTGTTTCAATTTTGGATCTAAGTGTAATGGGGAAACTAGTTTAAAGTAACTGTGTGCAAAGATTTTTTCCTTTTTTAACCTTTACTGTCAGTAAATACAAACACTTTATTTGTTGACAGTAAAAGTTAATCTGTAACAAAAATTTGTAATGTTTTTGAAAGTACAGCATTTCACTTTCTTTGCGTGTAATGTGCTTCGAAGTACGCAAGTTTTCTGTTCTTGTCCAAAACATTAAAGAACTCAAGGCACACCTAAACGCTTGTCATGCTTAAAAATAGGGCTGTTAGCGTTTCCTACACATTTTGTTTTTACTTTATATCAACAAAAGTACACACTGACAGTTAACATTAGCTGTTGCTTCTATGCGTTTAAACAAAACTGTACTGAGAAATGTAAATATAGCTCACAAATAATGGATAATATTTGAAATCTTAATGCAGTGGACAAAAGACAACACAAAACAAAAACCTAACATTTTGGATTGAAGCATGCAATTGATAATTTTCAAATTTAAAGTCCTTTACCTTTGACTTTTGAAGAAGAAAGAACAGATAAAACAAAACATATATATTCTTACTGTATTGACTGTTTTCTTGCTCTGGTGGAGGAGTGAAAGTCATGATCTGCCAATCTATTTCTGGCATTGACTGAGATTCTTCCAAATTAACCCAAACAACTTCCTCCTGAGACTCTCTGCCTGGAAGAAAACCCACTCTCTGTAGAAAAACAAAAAAATACTGCTATGACACAGAGGCTCCTCCATCAGATGACGTTTAGTTTTTAATTATTTAAGCCCTCATAAAATTCCCCCAAAGATCTTATTTATGTGGCATGTATTATACATTGTTTGTACCGAATGCAACATCAAAAATGTGTTTTTTAAAAGAAAACGTTGAACCTACCAGACTCGGAGGGCAGTTGGGAGAGGAGCAGCTGACCACCATCAGATCTCTCTCTATGTTTAGCAGGCACCAGCTACCAAAATCAGACTCTGTAAAAAAACAACAACATCATCATAACATAATAATAATGATAATAATAATAATAATAATAATATGTACTGAGTGACTAACTTGCAGTCAAGGAGGTGATGCTGCCTGTATTTATATCCACCACTAAGAGATCCTGTAAAAATAAAATATGTCTGCTTCTTTCATCTGATCCAACATGAACACAGACATTTAAGAGAACCATATTCTCTGCTGAGGGTTTTTTTTTCCCGTCCCCTCATCTGTTTGCTCGTAGCCGAACATACCTTACGGCTGCGCTGTGGACAAGCAACAACAATACGCCGACTATCAGCAGACCAGCACTGGGGTGACAGCTGAGTACTGTAGATGCCAGTAAAGCCGTCTGAAACGTCAGGCAAATGCACAACAAGCACAACGAAAAGGTGTACATCAAGTTTTATGCACAAAGAGCAAGGAGTGTTCACACGATGACAAGAAATTCTCACCTTCTCTAGGTCGACTAACAACATCCACCACCACCGAGGTCTTCTTAGTGTACCAGTCGTACTTAAAACAAAAATATTTATACATGAAAGACAAAGCTAGTGACAGTGTGTATTTACTAACTAATGTAAGTGATAATAACTTTTTTATTTTTTACTGAAGAGTCTACTTTTACAAAAGGTGAGAAAATTTAACAGCATATGTTGAAAAAAGGATTACCATGCTAAGCTTGCTGCACTGCAGGTGTGGTCCATAAACAGAACATTCTAGGTAGACAATCCGGCACTGGTCCGGACTCAGTCTTGGGGAATAGACTGCACTGGTGCCTGATGAAAGTTGCTCTAATAGAGATTGCACACATAGAAACGTATGTCGGCAATATTTTGTAGCCATGTCAACTTGTACTAAAATTACAACAAAACAACTTTCTGTTCAATATCTGCATTATGCCATCATATCACAAGTCATTAGACTCATAATAAGCCTTTTAGAGATGTTTATAATTAAAAAAGATAATACAAGACATGAAACATACGTACTCAGTTTTATACGGAGTTAAAATTAAACAATACTTTCACATTATTTAAACTATTTCTAATAATTTATTTTCAGTCAGACTCATGGCATCGTAGAAAATGCCATGAAAAAAGAAATAAAGACTGAAAAATCAGAGCCAAGCATTCATAAGAATGTATATGAGTCGCCTTCTCTCATGTCAGAGTTTTAAACTCTGATGATCCTATTATGAAAAACAATTAGTGATAGTTGCTTTGGCTATATCTTCAAAATAATAAAATGGGCGATCATTAGTGATCTCAAGCAACCTGTTGGTGTTTTGAGTATCTGCGGGAATGCCTCTCAATTCTAACACACTGGATTTTAGCTCAATATCTGCAAAACTGACCGTTATAATAATTTTTGTTTTATAAGGTCAGTTAGCTGAGGCAGCCATCTTGAATTGGGTTGACTCCAAAAGTTAAGCATGTGTAGGTCCAATAATTACTTTCTGAAAGTTTCTTTAAAATATGTTCACTGGAACATGAGATATTTTGCTAACAGATAAGGCAGCGTTGACTCCATTGATAATTGGTAAACTATTGCATGTGTTGTATGTGTTTGGACAACTCTCAGCTACTACCACATTAAACTTTAGCTTGTCTGTAAAGTTAGATATTTCTGTGTTTGTTAACATTAACAAGTTGTGGTGGCCATCTTGAAATGGATACAATTCAAAAGCTAATCAGATGTAAATGTACATCAAATGATTACTTTCTGGACTGTTATCACCTACCACATTTTCCACCAGTAAGATCCACATAAAACAACGAAGACCTGTTGAAGAAATATAAATACACTCAAGTATAGGTCTACTAAGACACTTGTCCCAGTCTAGCTGTTTGATGTGACTTATATTTGATCAGTGTAAACTGGAATCACCTTCGATTAGGGCAGTACTTGAGGCCAAGTCTGAAGGGCTCATGCCACCAGCCTACAAAGACCACACCTGTGTCACCTGGAGCCCAAAAGGCCTACAGAGAGGAAAACAAAATACCACCAAAACCAATTCAACACAAAGAAGCGTCAGCACACAATAAGTGCACATACATTAAAGCAAAGTGTAGAATTATTGCCAGTGCTGTGCCAACCTGTCCAGGTGAGATATCATCAGGCACTCCTTCCAACACGGAGACATTGTCCCCTTCAATGTCCAAAACACAAAGGACAGGATGGCTCTTACTAACCAAGGCCTCCCCCCAGTCCTCGTGGTAGGCAAACTGCTCCCCCTGCAGGAAATAAATTAAAGAACACAACAATATGTCATACATGAAAAATATATATATTTTTTATAATTTTTTAAATAAAATTGAACTGCATTCACTTTCACAGTCTCTTTTTTCCCCACCCTGATGGTCTCCTCCTCATCTTCAACTGAAAACAGCTCTGGTGACTCCACCTACACAGAGAAAAGAAAAAACTACTAGCCATATATGTTTAAATACATACCCTCAACTTTTGGTAAATGGTGAACAACACTAATCTTATCAAGGACAAAACATATATTAATGGCACAATAAGTGCTCTTAATGATTGTTGCTTGAACAACTCAAAGCAAAACATGAGATTTGTTCAAAATGTAAGCATATTTAATACGTTTACTACTGTATTTCTTTTAGATTTGGTAATGCATTTTCTCTTAAGAGCACGTATATAACTTTAAAATATATTTAAAATGACTTTCAAACAACTTTTTGAAAAAAAAAAAAAAAGTAATTCTAGCAAATATTAACAAACACCACGAAACAGTGAAATAGTTGATTGATGTTATTTATTTGCTACGTCTAATATGACCGAAGCTTACTCCTCTAAAATTTAGTGTTATTTCCTGTCAAAAATGTAGACACACCTGGAAGAAAGATTCAGTCTTGGGTTTCTTTTTCTCTGCCACATACAGGAGGTGGGTCTCAGAGTGAGACCAAACCAAGCAGCCAAACTGCTCTGAGGATGAACACAGTGTGAATAACAGAAAACTTGCAAATAAACTAAAGAGAGGAAAACATTTGTCTCCTCTAAAAACTTACCATCTTCATAGACTTTGCCGTGCTTCTTTAAGGCTGTCAGATTGATGCTCTTCATCTTCATGTTTTTACTCCAAATCTAAAAAGCAAGATAAATGTTGGTAAGAAAGCAACGTCAAAGATATTCAAATGGAAATTTAATTAGCCGTAAAGTAAAACAAGCATAAAAACAGAAAATCATAAAAAACAAAGGCAAAGAAGGGCATTATATATGTGTAATCAAGCGTCAAGGTGAAACCACGACAAAAATTTGTGATAACAAAAAAAGCTCTTGCTCAGTCTAAGCCAGACAGATTGCAACACACCTCCAGAAACTGCTTCTCTTCTCCTTTGATTGTGCATTCTCTGACAACTGCCTTCATTTCCCCAGAAGGAGAGTCCTTACTCAGCACTCTGATATGAAAATATCAAAAGAGGTATTGCTCAGCTTGCTCAAAGGTAGACTAAAATCAAAGACTATTTCTTTACGGTTGACAAATCAGCATTGTACGTACTCTCCTTTGATTTCAGTGCAGTTTCCAGATGCTCCAGAGAAGACCACAGACTTGTCATCATGGAAGACAATGTACTGTCTGCAAAACTTGACATTCTCATTCCTATCCAGATCCCGCTGGCTCCATTCTGCAGTTGAAAGAAAACAAATATGTTAGATACAAAATCTCCATATAAAAATCAGAACACTTTAGAGCAGGGGTGTCCATTCACGTCTTTGATTCTGGTGTGTTGGAGCAAAGAAACCTCTAAAACATGCAGGATAGTGAGCTTCAAGGACCAGGACTGGACACCCCTGCTTCACAGATACAGAGATGAGGCCCACCTGTGTAGATGTTGCTGTATTTGCCTCCATACTGAGAGGTGATGACAGGTCCTACGTCTGCTCTGCTCAGGGATGGGAAGAGGCTGAGCTCTCTGTAGAGTTTTGCAATATTCTCCTGTTTGGTCATCACCTGACAGACCGCAGAAGAACAACTGCGTCTCAGTGAAATAAACTGTCTAACAGCGAACAATGTCTTATTCATTTCCTAGCTAGGAAGCTAGCCATCCATAGAAGGCTGGTGGAGTTAGCACGATTTTACACAAACACAGAGCAGTACAGTTTAGAAATTGCCCATGTTGTTATACAAAGAAATAAAATAATAGCTATTCGTTATACAAAGCAACTAGTTAGTAGCGGTACTTATAGCAAGAGCCTTCTGACCAGGAACTTCCGGCTGCAGAGCAAAACAACCGAACTTGTGTTTATCTGTTAGCTTGACTTGAAAGCTAGCTAATTGATTTGTTCCTCAAATTGTCACAACGTAATTGAGATAGCAAATTCAAATTAGCACATTTACAAAAAAAAATTCTGTTTATTCTATTGATCAGTTATTTGCGGTTATTCATACCCGTGACCCCATTCTGCGTCGCTAGTGTCAAGTGTTGATCCAAAAACACAAGGAACTACGTTCGTGGAAAAATCAGAAAAACGACACAAGTTTTGTTAAAGCTTCCTGTTTTCAAAATAAAATAGTTTCTTTAAATGTATTTTCTGGGTGATTCAAAGTAAAATTCCCGAATAACTTAGTAATTTTCGGTACAACAACAAAAAATACCTATTACAAGTGAACAATTATTTATTAATGTCATTAAGAAAAATGTTCATAACCGTAACGGAAGCGTGTGCTTTTATTTTGTTAAACACCCAACAGGAAGTAGACTGCTAACGCCCTGTCTGGTAAAACACATTTTTACTATTATTTATTATTTACATTAAAATACTGTAAAAATTCACACCATTGTGTGTTTGCGTGGCGTACTTTTTTAATGTCTTGATGTTTGTGAATGACGGACGCAGCAGCGGATCTGTCAGTCAGCTGGAGTAGGTGGGTTCACACAGAGCCAAGATGGCCGACTTTGAGGAGCCGCTGTCAGATGAAGAGAAGGTTCGAAGTCTTTGTTCATTAACACTTTACCGTATTTATACCGGGGTATTTGTGTTTTACGTTTAGGTGCGATAAATATTATTACCTGGACCGACAGTGCCAGATTTTGGTGGCCTACCTAAATGATAAACTTGTGTCTAAGCTACCATTAGCTAACTAGCTCAGTTGTTTAATAATAGCGGCGATGTCAAATGCTGGGAGATTTTGATTTTCACTGGACGCTATGGTCACTTAATTGTTAAATATAGGTTTCTATACTTCTAAGCTGCATTGTAATGCCTCTTTGCATGTTACACAAATTGAAAAGTTTCCACTCTCTCTCTCTAAATGCTGGCTAACATTATCAGCTAATGTTACTTTGCTTTTCTGGGTCAAGCAGATTCGGTTGCAGCTCAAATAGTTTTCTGGACCTGGAATCAGTCTATCACGAGTCTTAAGTTTAGTTGGAGATTCACTCTGCATTAAACTAGTGACAGCTGGAAACAACACTGTTTATTGGCAAAGTTCACAAAAGTAAAACATAAGATGTTTATCTGTCTTTTTGCCACGTAGGTGAATACAAATAAAACCACCAACAGGCAGTTTTAAAACTAGAAGCAAGAAAGTCAACATTCCCCTGATGCACTGGTCTGTTGACCTTGTATGGAGAAGTAAAGTGACAATTGACACCATAAAGAGTTTTTATTGTTCAGACAAACTACTTCTCATTTTAGTCTGTTCTGTAAAAGTTACATAATAGAAACAATGATCATTTGACTTGTGAAAACATTAAAACTGAGCTATTGATTCAAGGAATCTGTTCACTTTAGATTATTTTTAAATCCAAAGACGGAGACCTGACTTTCCTAAATCGCATCATGTTTGATTATATAGTCCAATTTAATTGATTGTTCTCCAAGAGTAAAAACACTCGATAAGTTGATTTCTAATTAATAATATTTACGTATGTACAATTATTTTAGCTGATTCAGTTAAGTATCTTTTCCAGATCCGTATGCTACTTGTAAAATGTATTGGCATGTTTTGCAATCAGCTGCTTTTGTTATTCACTGACTTTATCAGAGGAATGTTTTGTACCAGTATTCATCAAAACTTTCTGATGGAAAGCCTAATTTTGAATATATATTTGTTTTACTTGAGCAGTGTCAGGCATAATAGCCATGCACTTGTGTTAGTTGCATAGTAACATTTAATAATTTGAGTTTAATTTGCTTCTACAGGTCCGCATAGCAGCCAATTTTGTGACTCATGCTCCTCCAGGAGAATTTAACGAGGTCTTCAATGGTAAGAAGTTGAGGATGACCAAATCATTTTGTTTATGATACCAGCCTTTCATTACTAAATTACTCAAAGCGGTGTTTTCCTTCAATCTGGTATTGATGTAATTTAATGTATTGCACTTGTAGTGCATTGAATTAAATAAAATACCATCATGTTAGCCACTGTTTGTCCCACTGCCTGTGTTGGGTGGAGTGCTTCATGCACAACTAGGTGTTGTATTTGTGATCCATCCTGTGATTAAACTCATATCATCCATAACTTTTTTTTATATTTCTTGCAGTATGACTAATAAGGACCTGGACCCACTTTTTCTGTCTGACTGCTTCCTGTTCATGCTCTGCTGTTAAAAGATTCACTGGAGTACTGCTCATACAGTACTTAAGGCTTTTGATCAAGTAGTCAATTCTTTGTGCTTTGAGACTAAACTAAAATCGCTGAGCAAATCTTTTTTTAATTTTTTTTATTAGGCAGTCAGATCAGCATCTCCTTTTCAAGGGAAAACCTATAAAAACTCTAAATTTGATTAATAAAGCTATTCAAATGAGATCAAATGCATTTAGTTGGAATGGTAAACTGTATACATTGAAGGAAATTGTGCTAATGCTGAAGTTGATTGTTTCTAGCATCTAATTCAGCACTTTTCTCAGAAGCCAATATGTGTTGTGCTTTTTGTGCTTAAACAAATGTTCAGGTGTCAAGTGAAGTTTTGTTATTGTCTTTCCAATTAGCGCGGTGCAAATGATGATTTGTTGTTTCCTATTAGATGTGCGGCTTCTTCTTAACAATGACAACCTTCTTAGAGAGGGGGCTTCTCAGTGAGTAATATTTAACTTGCATCAGAAATGCTCATTTTCACAGAATCACCCTGTCAGTTTATTATTGTTTAGGCCATAATAACCCATCTTTGAAGTGCTCATTTTTAAAACGTGTTTTTAAAAGATTTTGAACATTCTTCTGTCTTCTTTCCAATTGTTTTGTACAGCTCATTTGCCCAGTACAACATGGATCAGTTTACTCCTGCCAAACTGGAGGGATATGACGAACCGGTGTGTTTTTCTTATTAATCTTGTTTCGAAACGAGTAAAGCTGCAAGACGAGAATCTTCACTCTGTTTGTCTCTCCTCTGTAGGTTCTGATCACAGAGCATGGTGACTTGGGTCAGGGCCGTTTCCTGGATCCCCGTAACCAGTTATCATTCCAGTTTGACCACTTAAGAAAAGAGGTTAGCGAAGTGCAGCCTTATGAAGGAGACTGGACTCTTAGAAGCTGGAGAGATGCCTGTGATACTGCCCTCAGTGCCTACGTCAAAGAGCATTACCCTACAGGAGTCTGTACGGTACGGTCAACAAAAAGATTTGGCAACTTTAAAATTAAGCATCACTGACGGCCTCTTCACCATATCTGTGTGTTGCAGGTTTATGAGAAGACTGTTGATGGTCAGCAGACAATTATAGCCTGCATTGAGGGCCATCAGTTTCAACCCAAAAACTTCTGGTATAGCGTCTTCCTTTCAAATAGCTGTTTAAAATTGAATCTGAATATATGTAAACATTCATTGTGTAGCTGATTACCCTAAAGCAGATGTCTTCGATTTTTTTTTTTAAGCTTCTTGTGCTGCTGTCTGATTGTAATAGAAGACTTCTTTTGCTTTCTCCAACAAAGGAATGGCCGCTGCAGGTCAGAGTGGAAGCTCACCCTTGGTCAGTCCACTGCTCATGTGGTTGGAGTATTGAAAATTCAGGTCAGTGCACTATTATTTTGTTTTAAAAAAAAAGTATTTATACCTATAAATATTTGACCCAAAAGGAGATTTTTATCATTTTTATTCATTGATAAATATTTTTAAATGTGTACCAATGTAAAAACTTCCATTTTTTTTTGTACTTTGGATTCAAGATAACATATAATATATTGAAGCAACTTAAAAAAAAATAGTCGCCTCATTGACTTAGTGTACATTTTGAAGGCTAACGTTGTAAAATTCGAGTTCAACTTCAGGTTGTCATCTTGTTCCATTAAAATAAAAACCTTAAGCACACATCCAAGATTGTCCAAAATGATGTGTAGAATATTTACAGTAAGTTGGGACTCTGTAGCTGCCTTCTTACATTTCAGATGTCGGTCTTATAAGGGGGACATAGTCTCTTTCGTACAGCACTTTCAATGTGGGATGTGTGAAATGACTGAGGTTGATGCTGGTCCACCACTAATACATGTTTGAGCCAGCAAGCAATGTTGTCACAGACTCCCAGTTGGTGAGAATATATGAAGGGTGGCGCATACAGCACTTCACTCAAACCAACTGTACTACTGTTGTTTGTTCGTAGCAATGGTGGAACCTTAATATATTTATGAACAACAAATGCTGCTTAGTCTGAATATTGTTTGGCAACTCTATCCCAGAATCATAGGGTGACAAAGCCCTGTTGGTCAAATACCTTATGAAGCTACTTAAAGAAATGTAAACTTGCCAAAAGTTGTCCCAAATGGTTAATGTTGCGGGGGGTTTTTTTTTTTATTTAACTAAAATTTTCTAATTAAACCCCATATATAAAAAATATCAACATAATAAACAGTTTTAGCTTAAGATCTATATACATATATATTTTTTCCTCAGCAAAGATAAATGAGAAATATTTTTCCAACCATCATTTGTCTAATAGCTTTTTATGTTGTTGTTTTCCCCCAGGTGCACTATTACGAAGATGGGAATGTGCAGCTGGTTAGCCATAAGGAGATCGAAGATTCAGTTCCTGTGACTGTAAGTGAAATCAGTTTGTTCAACAGTCACTTGCACCGCCTGTCATCAGTTTGTAAAACAACCACCTCTGATTGTGTGGGCTAAAAGGATCATTTCATGTTTTTCGTAGAATGAAGTCCAGACAGCCAAGGAATTTGTTGACATTATCGAGAACGCAGAAAATGAATACCAGGTAAGGCCCCTGTTGCTTACTTTGTGCTATTTGCTGTGCAAATCAACTTTAGCAAGTTTTATTTTTGTATATTTAACATTAAATGAACACTGAGGCATTTTATGTCAAAACAAAGCATTATTATGTTAACTGTTATCTTGTTTGCCTCTATTTCTTGCCTTTAGACTGCGATCAATGAGAACTACCAGACCATGTCTGATACGACCTTCAAGGCTCTGCGTCGCCAGCTGCCTGTCACACGCACCAAGATCGACTGGAATAAGATCCTTAGTTACAAAATTGGCAAAGAGATGCAGAATGCATAGGGGCGGGTCAGGGACCAATCAGGATGATGCACACTCTCATGGGCCTGCAACCCATCTATAAACGCTCATGGACTAACCAAAGCATAAATATATCGATATGAGTCAAGGAAATAATAGAAATTTAAAAAAGTAACACATGGTGTGAAAATTGTTAGGGACAGATGTGTTTGTTTGCTGAATGAAAAGTGAAGTTATTAAAAAACGAATGGTTTGGAGATAGGTGTTACTTTTGGATGTGTGCGCTGTGTTGAGACAGTGTGCAGGGCTGTGTTCAGGACTGCTTCATTTGGGGTTCAAAGAAAAACCTTCCACTGTTTAAGGAGTCGCAGAACTCTGTTGAGAAGTTTCAGTCTTTTTATCTTGGTAACACTGATGTGGAGGTGTGAACACGTCTCTGCTCAAAGCAGCTGATGAGAGAAATCAAGCACACGATCACAGTTGTTTTTCTCTGTGCTCATTGTAGTTGCCCTCTATTCCAGTTCTCTAGAAAAAAAAACTGGATATCAAGTAGTAAAACCACAATATAAGGAAATATGTTGTAGTTACATTTTGATTAATAACAAAACATATTGCTTCACTAAAGAGGAACTAACGGAGACGATTCAAGAGCAGCACAATCCTTGACACGGCCCTGGCGTGAAGATGCTCCTGCATCGCTGTGTTTGTTCATATCTGTTGGGTCTGAGGGAGAGTTGATTTGGTTTTCTGCTGTTCTCCACTAATGTCTTTCCGTTCATGCAAGTTGTGATGATAAAAAAAAAAAAAAAGCTAAAGCCACCTCTGAGCTGCTGCATCCACAATCTGTTCTGTTCTCTTTGGCAACACCTTCATCTCTGTACAGATTTCCTTTGCATAAAAGGAAAACATTTTCATATAAATCCCAATTTATTTGCCAAAATCTCTTTCCTATGGTAAAGAACTCCATCCTCCTGCTCACGTGTGTAAATTCCTAATTTAATATGCTTCTTTTTGTTGGAGTCTTAGACTTTTGCACTCATAACTGTAGCAAACCGTAATAATCATTGCCAAGAGGATGCAAAGCAGCTGCCATATGGTAAGATCATTTACTGTAAATGTAACGTTACTCCTGTCAGGCCACGTCTTACTGTATTACATGACTTCTGAGTAGGCTGACCTCGGATCAGATAGCTGTGCTGTGTTCAACCCTTGCAGTGTACGACAGCGGTGTGTCGATCATTGGACAATTTCAACACTGTACTGCCCCATTCTGTCAAATAAATGGACTGAACATTGTGGCTAAACTATTTTATTTTTCTGCTGTGGGGTTTAGCGCTTTTCATGATCCGACATCGTTCAGTCACGTCATCTGGACAGTTTTCTTTTTTTTTCAGACGTTTCGTCCTTCATCCAAAGGACTTCATCAGTCCGAGGAGCCACAACAAACTCCATCCCACAACAGCACACTCACATAGTGAACAAACCAGTTTGACGGTGATAAGATTGTTTCTGGGGCCCGACCCCTCCCTCGTCAACAACTTGAGGCAGCCATAGGCAAAGTGGTTCAAAACATCAAAGTCCATGCTCAATAATCCAGGTAAAAAAAATCCAACAAAATTCAGTCCGGTCATCTGGACAGTTTCTTTTTTTTGTTGTTGAAATATTTCATCCTTCATCCAAAGGACTTCATCAGTCCAAGGAGCCACAACAAACTGTCCCACAAGCAGCACACTCTCATAGTGGACCAAACAGTTTGCTGGTGATTTTTTTTTTTTTTATCTGCATTATTGAGCATGAACTTTGATGTTTTGAACCACTTTGGCTATGGCTGCCTCGGAGGAGTTGACGGGGGAGAGGGCAAGCCCCAGTAACCATCTTATCACCATCAAACTGGGTGGTCCACTATGGGAGTGTGATGCTTGTGGGACTGAATTTGTTGGGGCTCCTCAGACTGATGAAGTCCTTTGGATGAAGGACGAAATGTCTCAACAAAAAAAGAAACCATCCAGATGACCTGACTGAAAATAGTTGGATTTTTTTACCTGGATTATTGAGCATGAAGTTTGAAACTCTTAAAATCACTTAAAACAAGAAAGGGGATGTGTGGATTCATAAACTAGCTTTGATTGTTGTAAAATAAACGAGGTTGAGACATAAAAACACTGAACTTAATAAAATCTAATAAACTGTAAATAACTGACAGACTGTTTACGATTTACAGTAGAAATCTTAAAATTTTATTGGCAAGTATGTTCAAAATGATGAACAACTCGAACATTTTTTAAGAAAGCATGACCATTTAGTAATTTTTGATTTGTGTGAAATACAAGTCAAGCATTTGTGAATTACAAAAGCGAGAGAAAGCAATGTAGTGCAAAACGTGCGCTCCCTTTTCGTGAGTTCATGACAGTAAATCCATGCGACGTTCATTAAAAAGAAATGCACAAACTGAACATATTTACAGCAGTAAAATATTAGTGTAGTGCTCCATAAAAATTGCATAATGACACATGGGGAAATATCTTAATGATTTTTTTTTGTAAAACAATGACAACATGTTTGCCCCACGCTTAAACTCTTATTGCCTTAAACGTATTGGTTTAAACAAACTGTTTTTATTGGAACTGGACTGACTGGTTGAGCATTAGCTGAAAAGAAAACTGCTCTGCAAAGAAACTTCCTTTAACTTTTCTATCAAACAGAAAAACAATTAACAGACCTGTTTGTTTTGCACATTAGTCAAAAAATTTGATGAAAAATAATTATTTAAATTCTAAACAATGTATTCTGAGTAATTCTACATAAAACAGTGTTAAAATAAGATACTCAATTCAGTAAAAGAATCCAGAATATATATTTTTAAATAGTTCTTTTCTAGTAGTTTCTCAGGTTTGGTATAGAGGTAGGACTGCAGCAGACTCTGCAGCTGTTACAACACGGGGGTGTCTCCATGATTGTAGGTGGTTTAAAGATAAAATTACAGTAGCTGCTGATTTTTCATCTCCCTTGTTAAGCAGTTATAATTTGCTCATTAACTACTGGAGGATAAAACCAGGTCCGACTCCGCGGCGCCCTCCTGCCCGTTGCTGCCGTGCCCACAGTTCCCCGTCAGCTCCGGGAAGAGGCTGGTCCGAGCTGAGAGACTCGGCGAGCCAGGGGTTGGGCTCATCACGCCGGGCCTCTTGGCTAGAAGCAGCGGGTGGGTCCTCTCTGAGCGAGGGGTCAGAGGGGAGCGAAAGCCTGGAGATAACGGCCCTGATGAAGGTGACCTTGGCCCTGGAGGAGATGTTATGTTGCGGTAATCTGTTCCGAACGGAGAGCTGCTGACCGGTGACAGCTTGGCTCCGGCCTGCTGGCTGGTAAAGCGAGACAGCACCTGAGTGACGGTGTTGCGGGCCAGCTGCTTGACTGGGCTGTGCTCTGGTGGAGGGGTGGAGCAGGTAGTTGGGGAGAGGTCTCTGGGGGAAAGGGGGCCCCCGTGCTGCTGCTGCTCCAACTCGGCCTGGGTCTGGAACTTGTGCCGGGCAGCCTGGAAGCGCTGATTGACTCCAGCCTGGTAGGCGGACTGGAGGAAGCTGGGACTGCCCAGACGCTTGGCCAGAACTGGAGAGGTAACGGGGGAGCAGGAGAGGGAGGATGAAGCTGTGCTGGAGGGAGAGTGAGGGGGAGGATGGAGAGGCGAATGCAGGGGTGCTCCACAACCATTCTCCACTCCATTTTCTGCTCCTCTCCCCTCGTGCGCTGATGAGTCCATCTCTTTGTGAGCGTTCAGGCCGTTGACCTTTGATGCCGTCGTGGATTTAAGAGCAACGTTTATTCTTCCATCTGGCTCAGTCTGAACAGAGGTGGACACCATCCCTGAGGACTTACTTGTCTCCGTCACAGCTTGCTTTGCATCTTCTTTCCATCCTTGCCTGTTCGCCAAGCTCCTCTTCAGCTCCTCCACTTGTTTCTCCAGCTCGTCGCGCTTCTCCTCCTCTGCTCGGAGTCTGGCTTTCATCTGCTCTCGTTCAGCGCCAAACTCAGCCAGCTGCCTGTCGGACCGGGCCTCCAGCTGGGCTGCTCTGCTCCTCTCGCTCTCGAGAACCGCCTGGAGCCTCTCGAGAGCGCTCGTCTCTTCCTGCAGCGACTTGTGAAGTTGGGAGACCTTCCGGGCCTCCTCCTGAGCCTGGCTGCTGGCCTTCTGCAGCTCCAGGGTCAGATTGGAGGAGAGCTGCTGTTGCTGCGACAGTGACTCCTCCACCTTGCGCACCACCTGCGCTTGTTCCTTCTCCAACTTCTGCGCTGTTGCGTGCTCCACCTCTAGCTAGAAACAGACACAGAGAATTAATCAAGGCGAGGAAGTGCTTCCATATTTAACCACAAGGGGGCGACATTACACTGTTCATTTTTTTTTATGTCTGAAAATATTCCAGCTTTGTTACAAGATTTTGATTAAATATTTGTATAGAGCCAAATACAACAGGGGTCTTTTAAAACTGATACAGTAGCATAATTATCACCTGCTCCCAAATAGAAAGCGGCCATTAATGTTTTTGCACGTGTTTGTGTGTGTATCATCTGTCTGAAATATCTAAAGAACCACTGGATGAAATTTAATGAAACTTTCAGGAAATAAACTTTGGATACACGTTTACAGTTATTCAATGTTTGGCATCAATCCAATTCAAGATGGACACCTCAGCTAGTCAATGTTAGCCAACACAAAAATGGCTATAACTCAGTCAGTTTTACAGATATTGTGCTAAAAAAAAATAATGTGGTAGTAGCTGAGAATCCTTCACAACACATATCTGAGTATGGCATCTCTCACTGAATGAGACTGAGCGAAATGTATTTTTAAGGTTTAACGAAAAATGCCTTCCAACTCCAATATGTTTCCACAGAAGATGATTGTAGCGTTCAAAAACACCCTAGGCCTTTCCTTTTATTTATAGTGCTCATTTGCAATTGATTAAACAACTGCTAAACAATAAAAATCTTAATTAATGCTCACGCTGACTGACATCCCTCCTGTTTCATTATTCACGTCTCTGGCACTGTTTAAATTTGTCACTTCACAATAAATGTTGCAAAATGTAAAATAGGTCCACGTGAATCACAAGGAGGCAGGAAAATATCATTTACATGTTGAAGTGTCAGGAATACACAGAAAGGGGCCACATATTCCACTTTTTTTTTTTTTTTCCTGGTGTAGCATTTTGATGGGAACTTGAGTTTGCTATGACGTCATTAAAAGCTGACTGGTTAAAACCTTTGATGGTTATTAGTAGGAAATGGAATGTAATAAAATACAACTGTGTGTGTGTGTGTGTGTGTGTGCGGTTTAAGCTCCATAAAAACACCAAAGGCAGGAGATGCTGAGGAAGAGCCTCAGGAACCTTCTGTTACATAAGGCCCCTGTGTAAGTGTGTTCACACAGTGGGTGACCTTGCATTAAAAGTGGACATCCATTATCTCAGGCTTCCTGAGGCCATAAAGCCCCATGGCTGCTGAACATCTAAACAATGGCCTCTTCCTCATCTGTTTCCCATGGAACAGTTCTGTGTTTGTGCATACGATAAGTGCTTCTGTGTGTGTGTGTGTTTGTATCATTTAAAAGGCCAAGCCCTCTCCACCCCACTGAGTTACACAGTGTAGCTGCCCTGATGTTTTCCTGTTCAATCAATGAGTTTTAAATCACAGAACAAAGTATAAGCATTGGTATTTGTCTCTAAAACTGAAGGGACAGTATAAATTCATCCAGACAGAAGAGGCAGACTGTGTGTTTGACCTGTCAGACTCACCTGCTGCAGCAGTTTGTCTCTTTCTGTTTGCAGCATGAAGGTGAAGTCAGCGTGCCGTGCAGTCTCCTGGGCGTACCGCCGCTTCTCCTCCTCCAGATCTGCTATCATCTAAAGGAAACACAGACAAGTGTAAAAGATATGACTTAATGCACAGTTAGGGGTTATTCTACAAGAATCCAAATCTTGAAGCAAATATCATCCACGAGCAAGTTATCCTATTTTAATTTACATCAAGGTAAGTGACAGGTATACTGTAAGTGTGCAACGTCCTACTTGTAAAAAAAATAGAAAACGTCTTACCTATTGTTTCTGTGTGTGTGTGTGTGTGTGGCAAACTAATTTATGAATGTTTTACTTTTATTTATTTTTGATTTACAAATGTATTCAATTCATTAAAAACAAAATAGCTATATACAGTAGAAAACAAAATATATATATATATATATATATATATATATATACAATCAAAAAATAAAATGAAAGGCAGCAGAAGAAGAATGAGAAAATGTTAACTTTCAAACACAAATCTAGTTTTTTGTACAAGTATGAGTCTCACGGTAATACACCCCTTCAAATTACCAATCTGATACAAATTACTGTATTTTCTGCCGTACACGTCACACCGCCCTCTAAGTCGCATCAGTCCAAATACAGTATGTCTAATAAAGTGGAAAAATCCATAAATACGTCACTCTTTCTGTATACGTCGCATCGATTACGCGTCACCGCTGACCACCCGGAAATGTGGACCCACGATGTTCCAAAAATTAACTGGCTGCCACGGGAGCGTGCACGGGGGGATCTTAACAAGAATTTAACAAGATTAACACTTAAAAACAATTATTTGTTTGCTCAAATTATAGTAAAGGTGTGTCTCAGTCTAACTTTTGCTTAAATGCACTTTGACGGTTAAATGAAATGCATTTCAAAAGCCGATACGCGGAAGTAAGCGCTTGCACGTGAGGACTCACTGTGCATTTCTTCGAAATTTAACACAATAACAATTATTTGTTTGCTCGACATTATAGCAAAGGTGTGTCTCAGTTGAATGTTTACTTAATAAACACACTTCAACAGTCAAATTAGCTGCATTTCACCGAGGCGGCGCAGCGAAATTAAGCTGATTTGACGGTTGCTTCAGGCGAGCTGGACGAAGGTGGCAGTCTATGGCAAGCCGATTGTGTCATTAATAGCCACTTTCACCTATTACATAATACAACGGCCTGCCAAAATACTTGACTGCCATCTAGCTACTGAAAATGGTAGTGTTCAATAGTTCAGTCAGAATGAATGAAAACGGTCATATCTCAGTCGAAAGTTGGTTTATAAATATGGGGAAAAATCCATAAATATGTTGCTTCCGCGTATAAGTCGCAGGGCATGCAAATTATGCAAAAAAAGGTGACTTATAGGGCAAAAAACACAGTAGTGGAATCTTTCTGCATGTGAGCCACCTACCCTCCTGTGTCTGCTCTCAGCAGCAGCCAACTGTCCCATCATCCTCTCCTGCATCCTCTTGCAGTGAGTCATGACCAGTTTCAGCACAGCCAGAGGGTTTGGGCCCACTGCCCGGCCCTGCAGATGTGTTTGAGGCTGCGTGAGTGTGTCCTGTCGCTCCGCGGCTTCGTTGTCCCGCTGCAGGGCCAGGAACGGATCGCTGAGGTCATACTGTCCGTAACGCTCCTGGACGAACGCGCCCCTGTGCTGGGCCTGATGGACGAGCACACGACAAAACATGTAACTGGATATTGAAGTACAGCCACTTCATTCCCTGACTGAGAAGACATCAATGTGTTTATGTAATATTTTATGGGATGTTTCCTTTCTACTAATCAGCACAGGACATGACATTAAATCACTGTTATAATGGTAAAAACTAATTACAGTACAGGCAAAAACACGATTGCTCTGCCTTTGGCGGCAGGCGATAATAAGCAAACAAGGCACAGTTTGTAGGAATGTGTGCGTCAGTATTTGTTCAGGAAACTGGTGCTGCTATAGTCAGCATGAGCTCAAGCAGATGGCCGTTCCTGTCAACCCAAACACAAAGAGGTGAGGTACGGCTGTCCAACCCCCACAAGGGGCAGATGTTAACTCCTCCCTCGGGATGCAGGGGTGAAGGAGTGAATCATTAAATCTCTCTCACACACGCAGCCCCTATGCATAGACGAGCTTTAAATAAGCTGTTAAAATAACTAAAAACATGTTTTAAGAAGGAAAAAAAAGTCTCACAAGAAGCTGAGTCTTCCAGCTAACTAAACTAATTATTTATCCAGAGGAACCTGTTCAGCCCAGGCTGACCCCAGTCCTGGTCACGGTGTCACCAGGGGGTCTCATTAGCTACAGAACAGTGAGCTGGTTTGAGTTTTGAGGCGCTCGAGGTCAGCGTGGAGTCAAAGTCCTACTTATTGAAGCACATGTGAAAGACATCACACTTGGTGCCTTCAGGACACCTATACTTTTCTTCTCATGCAGTCTTCATTAGACGCCGAACCACAAGTTCCCGTTGTCCTTGCGCGCAAACTTGCATTCTTGAGTCGGTTCATTGACATTTTTTGGAAAATATCTCTTTCTAATTCTGCATGTCTCTGTCTTTTTTTGCCTCACTTGCTTCAACAAACGTAAAGATGAAGCACTTGAGGCTATTTTCCCCGGTGAATGAGCAAAATATGGAATCCTGCTCAAAGTGTCGCCTCGTGCATTGTCTCCTGGTCTGACTCAGCTGACCGCTGAATGTGAAAGTGCAAATTAGTGTAGACGTGCAGGTTTAACATAAAACCTGAGATTCTGTGTAAGCTTTTAGAGTAGAGCAGTAAAAACGTCTTCATCCAGAAAGAGACAAAACTGCAGCTTTCTGCACTAACAGTCCAAGTTCATGCCACAATCTTTAAATAGACCATTAAGGGCTGTGTGTACTCTGAGTGCATGTGTTTGCACAGAGGGCCTAACTTAGGATCTGGTCGCTCATGTTCTTTTTTTTTTTTTTTGTCAGGATAGGTCTGATCATAATGACAGGGTGTGCACTCCTTTATGAGAGAGTACAACAAGCAAATCCAGTCGGCTGTAAAGCTCTCATCCCTGCCCAATTACTGATCACAAATACTCTTAGAGCAAGTCGTGGGAAAGAACACATTATTCAAAAATAATTTACAAATGCACCTTTGAGTTTGAACTGTCGATGGTGAAACGGGCATGCTGGAGCACGTTAGCTGCTAATGCATTCCTGCTGCCAAGGTGTAAGAGAAAAACTTGACGCCTTTCACCTGAAAAACTCTGTCAGTCAGTTCCCTACAGCCTCGAGGAATAAACGTGGCCTCTGTGCACAGAAAGGAGCCGCAGCATCCTGGTTTTTCACTAAACCTCTAATGATTGTTACACATCGGCCTCAGCAGCTCACGTTCAAAAAAAATCACAGCTCTAACTTAACGGTATACTGATTTTATATATCTGATTAAAAATGTACAAATCTTTTGTACATGTACAACGTACAGACAGAATGGACTATTGCAATGGTTTATTATCTGGGTGTCCAAATACTTCTTTAAAACGTCTTCAGTTGATCCAAAATGCTGCTGCCAGAGTCTTAACTGGAGTTATTAGGAGAGATCATCTCTCTCCAGTTTTAGTTTCTCTCCATTGGCTCCCTGTCAAGTCCAGAACTGAATTCAAAATCCTACTTCTAACATACAAAGCCCTCAACAACCTAGCTCCATCTTATATTACAGATTTATTGTTCCGTGTTTTCCTAACAGAGCACTTCACTCTCAGGCTGCAGGCTTACTTGTGGTTCCTAGAGTTTCCAAAAGCAGAATGGGAGGAAGATCTTCCAGTTATCAGGCTCCTCTCTTGTGGAACCAACTTCCAGTTTCTGTCCGTGAGGCTGACACATTGTCCAGTTTTAAGACTGAGCTTATGCTCCCTTCTTCAGGGGTCCCCACAGCAAACTAAGTCGCACAAAGACTTGGCAATTATTTTTGCGCCAGATTCCCTTCCTGACGTAACCACAGACCACCGAGCTACCACAGCCCTCTGTGTGGCGCAGAGAGATGCTATCTAGCAGATGGTGGGGGTTAAAGGCCTTGCTCAAGGGCCCAGACTGGGGCAAATGAGGGTGGAGACAGGTGTGGGTGCTTCACTTATCCCATCCACATTTTGATGTTGTTGGTACTGAGAGTTGAACCAGCGATCTTCCGATCACAGGCCTACCTTCTCTAACCTGTACGCCATCACTTTCCCTAGGCTTTAGAATTTCATTTTTAATAAATCATATAGTCAAGGTTGGCTTGTTATGCTGCCATAAACTTGAGACTACTGGAGGACAAATTGACAGAATTTCTTTAAATGAATTGCTAAATTTGGATAGTTTTCATTTGATACTATTTCTATCTTAACTTGTGATTCTAGACCTGCCATTGTGTATCTGTTCCTCCGTCCTGTTCTTCTCAAACCCAGCCAGTTGAAGCAGATGACCGCTTGTCCTCAGTCTGGTTCTGCTAAAAGTTTCTTCCTCCTGAAGGAGTTTTCCTTTCCACTGTCGCCTTCATGCTTGCTCAAGATGAGAGTCTGTGATGAAGTTAAACTCAAAGCAGTCTGCTCCTCTGATAAATAATAAACTTACTTTTTACATATATATATTCAGTGCACTGAGATGACTTCTGTTGTGACATGGCTCTATAGATTCATAGAAGACTCTATGAATTGAATTAAATTGGGCAGCACAGTGGTGGAGTTCCTAGAGCGGCCTCCTCTCAGCGAGCAGGTTGCGCTGATTTAAATCCCGGCCCGGGTCCTTTCTGGGTGGAGTCTGCATGTTCTCTCTGTGCATGCATAGGTTTTCTCCAGGTACTCCGGTTTACTCACACAGAACAAAAACATGCATGTTCGACTGATTGGTAACTCTAAATTGTCCCTAGGTGTGATGAGAGAGTGAATGGTTGTTTGTCTCTCTGTGTCTCTGTGATGGACTGGAGACCTGTCCAGGGTGTCCCCTGTCTCTTGGAGAGTGACTACTGGACACCAAAACCCAGAAAGGAAGAAGAAAGAAACTGACTAAAATAAGAAGAGAGGAGTTCTTAGGCTTAAAGAAAGGAAAAACAATGTAAACTGGCCCTAATTATTGCACATTTATTGTAAATCCTTACACTTTTTTTATGTGTGCACACGCTAAACTTACAATGTCTTTGAAGGTGTAAATTTTAATGGCATAGAACTGGACTTTTAAGATTGGTTTAATAGGTTCCATTTGTATATTTGGCCTGTGAACAAGGTTTTAGTCTCTAAATAAAAATAAACAAGAAAAAGAAAAAAGAGAGATGAAAAGAATGAAGCTCCTGGGCTTATGCCTTTTCAACTATAATTAGGTCAGTTTTAAGGCTCAGGCCGTATCCTCCACACCTCCCGCCCACACATTAACTACAGATGGCCCCGGAGATAACTGAAAGACACCAAACCCCTCAGAGCAATGTTTCACTGCCTCAAATATTATCATCCGCAGTTAGTAATGAAACATGGAAGTAGGTGATCCAAGCCACTTTTGGTATAACATTTATTATCACAAGGCAAAACATGGAAATACTTCAGTTTATCATCAGACTAAGTTAAAAAAATGATCTGCAAGGACATTCACTGACAGTGACGTACAGGCAAACCTTTATTAAGAAACCAGCTTCTTATTTACTCAGACCGCCTGTCGTCTTAGTCTGGCCTGACTGCTGTGATTGTTTCGGTTTTATTTGCGACAAGCAAATACTCTTGTTCCATGCCATCGGCAGTGAAGGGTGTAGACAGATACCACCCTTTGCTTCGAAGGTGGATTTAGGAAGGAAAAAAAAAAGGTCTGTCATAAAAAGGCACGGTTACTCAATCAGTGCAGCTTGCGTGAGCTGCTAAAAACAGACATACATCAGTCTTTGTTGTCATCTGAAAATGCACTCGTATAGACCTCAAATAGTTGACATCCCATTCTGATGTGTGTTAGACATTAATCTAAGTGTTGCAATGCTTTAAAAGCAGACTTCCTGGTAGTCACTGTGTTGTTTCCCAAACCTGTCTTAAAACCACTCTAAATTGGGCTGTGACTCTTTAGTTAAAACAGAAAACACCCTCTTATCTGAGCAGCCCACTCCCTATTGTTTCTGTAGGCAAGAAAACACGTCAGTCTGCAAAACCAGACAAAACATTTTAGGACTACAGGATATGACCTCACATAAGCAATGCTGACAAGAAAAGCAACATTTGCTGACATAATCCTTGTATTTTTATGTGAACAAGTGTTTCAATGCCTGCAGAAAACATTTGCGTTTGCTCGATTTAAACCAGGGTAATAATAGCAACAGATCCCTCAGATAAGGACTTTTGTCAGAGCAACAAAAAGCATGCCACACCTCTTGGAATGCAAGAACTGTTAGGTGCACGTTCTCAGGAATATTTCCTCTAAACTGCTGGTTTGTTTTCTTAGTATTAGGAACTGGAAACAGCACGATCAAGAATCTGTAGAGACAAGTCCCAGAAGTGGTGCATCGCAGGTTGTATGGGAACGCCAATGCAGTTCTACAGTTTCAGAAGTTTTCAGTGTAACTAGAAGGTTCAAAAGCACGAGCATGCTGTGGATATGGGCATTCTGAATGTATCTTTTAGGCATGATGCTGCGAGGAGAAAATATTAAAGGTGGGTGAAGTGTGAAAGACAGAGAGGGACAATTGGAATAAACTTTTCTAGGTGCTAAACTAATGCACACTGAACATGATATAGTGTTGCCATTGAATATTGGCAGTCCCTTCTGCACACAGAAATGACCAGTCAGTAAATTGCTGCACAGGCCCTCAGTGGGAACAAGGGAAGTCAGTGATTTGAGCCTAAAGCGCTGTACAGTATATACATCCTTTCATCAGTAAACACAACGGTCCCTGAGTGGCCAAAAGACATACCGGTAGTTCATATTATTTTTTTTATCTGTGGAAAGGTTATGAACAACTTATACCTTAATTGCTGTAGAAGCTCTTTGAACAACCTCAGTTAGGAGAAAAAGTTATACAGTGTGTACTTCTGATAGACTGACATGGTTACACAGAACAGGGCCAACACTAAAGTGGGTAAAGGTAATGGATGGATGGAGGGATTGCTGTCAACTTAAGAAAATCTCTATTGCTTAAATAAATAAACACATATACATACATACATACATACATACATACATACATACATACATACATACATACATACATACATACATAATAATAATGTCATCACAATGTCAGCACTGTATGTTTCCATACAATGGCGAAATGAGTCTCTGCATTTAACCCATCCACCACCAGGTGGTGCAGTGGGCAGCTATTGAAAGCACCCGGGGGGCATTTTGGGGATGAGGCGTGCTGCCCAGAGACGCCACGTGATGTGCAGTGACTGGGGATCGAACCTGGGACTTTCGGGTCCCAAGCCAAATACATACATACATACATACATACATACATACATACATACATACATACATACATACATACGTATATATACGTACAAAGTCAAAAGTCAAAGTTTCTTTATTTGTCATTCGTAACACATGTGGTACATGTGGTGGAACGAAATTGTGTACACAGGGTCCCGGTTACATCCAACAAAAGTATTAAAATGTAAAAGAAAAACAGTAATAAGATCTAAGATATGAACTAAGAAAAACATTAAACTACAAACACACTAAGCACTAGTAGTACAAAAACAATATGCCAAACAGCAGAACGAACATGAGTCTGTGTGAGCAGATGAGTACAAATGAACACATCAACATGAAACAGATCAGCAGCATGATGTGATTTTTTTCCACAGTGATTACTCTGGTTAGAGATTCATGAGTCTAACAGCCTCAGGGTAGAAGCTGTTCCTCAGTCTAGTGGTTCTACACTTAAGGCTCCCACAGACTCGGGCGTACTTCAGTCCAAGGAGGTCCGCAGGTACCGGATTAGACTCAAAGCGGACGGCCACAAGGCGTGTCCGTGCAAAGATACATTTTTATAACCGCATACGCGCACTCGGTGTCACACAATAAGCTGCCTGGTGACGGACTGTTTTGTATGCGACACAAATAGATGAAATTCTCCTTCTTCAGCCATGGTTTGGTTTAATGGCCTTTTATTTTCTTGTTCTTTTGCCAAGAGGCAAGCGATCTCTTCCTCCTTGTTTCCTTGATGCCATGACTGAAATGGTGAGAAATGAAGGAAGTTGTCACGAGAGAATTAAAACCAGGTCCAGCTTGGCTGCGGGAGTGTCTGATTTCCCTGTGGGCTGGTCTGATGTGTGAGCCAGCCCTCCCTGTTATTTTATTTTTTAGAACTTTTTATTAAAAACATATAAACACAGAACACCGCTGCCACTTTGTTTTTACGACCTGTCAATCAATCCAGAACGCATGTCAGCAAATGACCAATCGGCGACCTCAATTTGTCCAGAAGGTAAACACCCTTTGTCTGTGGAGCTGGTCTGCAGCCCATCAGGGTGGCCGCTTGAGTATGAAGTCTCAACCGTCTACAGACAGTGCACACAGTGTCCACACAGCTCACAGTACGTCCGAGTCTGTGGGATCCTTTAATGCTCCTTAACCTCCTTCCTGAGGGGAGCGGGGCAAAAAGTGTGTGTGCTGGGTGAGTGGGGTCCTTCATGATGCAGGTGGCCTTCTTCCTGCATCTGGAGGTGTAGATGTCTGTGATGCATACATACATACATACATACATACATACATACATACATACATACATACATACATACATACATACATACATACATACATACATGCATACACGCATACATACATACATACATACATACATACATACATACATACATACATACATACATACGTACATGCATACACGCATACATACATACATACATACATACATACATACATACATACATACATACATACATACATAAATACATACAAAGCAGGTCAAGCAGCTTATAAACTGTTACATCTGCTAAAATTTTTTCTTTACTTGAAGCAGAAGCTGCAGGAAGAACCCCAGGCTGCACTTTAAGTGCAACAGCTGACTGCAGCTAACCGTGCACAAATAACAATAAAATTTAAAGAACTAGTAAATAATTCTGTAATCCAAAACTGACAACAATGTGAGGGTTCAATGTTTAGTTTTTTAGGGACAGCTGTGAAATCTTTCAGACTAGATGCCCTTTCAGAAGGCAGCAATCCACTTTGGTCTTGGTTCCAGTCAAGCTAGTCGTTAGCTTGTCAGTCCAGTCAGAATTACGGTAAACTCTGTTTTTACAAACTGAGGCCATTCAAAGCTTTCCACAGAACCCAGATTCAGAAATCCTGGACTGCTTTCTTAATGGAGACCACCAAAACACGTGTGTCTGGGCTTGAGTAAAATAGGCAGAGGAAAGCAAGAGGCAAGAAAGTGACCACACAGCGCACTTGTCTTAGCGGGATGATTGCGTTTGGAGTGAAACATTGCATGCTTCAGATTTCAGTCGGCGTGGTTGCTATGGCTTCCTGCCGTGCCATGGCACTGAAATTCTTTCACGATTACAGCTACAAAAGCTCTTCAGATAAGCTTCCCCAACGAGGCCTGTGTGCTTCATCGAGACAGTCGTGGTTGGCTTTAAAAAAAAATAAAAAATTCTCATCAAAGATATTCAGACAATGAGTCAAACATTCAGGGGTCTGAAGTTTCACCCAAGCTTGGGACAGCTGCTGCTGTAGTCTTGAGTGTGAAAAAGCAACCAGTGGCATGGAGAGAGCTAATAGGACTGGACACATACACTAAAGAGCATTGTTGCCGAAGGAAAGCTTCGCTCTTTCAATAGAATAGGAACGAATGAGACGCTTAGAACAAAATAAGAGATTTAAAAGACAATGAATGGGGTAAAAGTACTCTAATCCTAGACATTGGTGGGATTGCGGTTGAGTAATGGTGTGCTTCACAATGTGTACTTTGGTGGGTCAAGCTGTCTGAGAGCATACCCTGTTTGTCTGGGTCACCTCTGCCTTCCTCTGCTGGAGCTTCTTTAATCATAGCCTGTTTCAAACATTCCAAGCACAGCTGGATGCAGGCCAAATGATTACTGAAAGGTTTACGCAGTATGCACACTAGACAACGCACCATGAAGGCTTCAAAGTCATTATATCTTAGAGCAAGTTTTTCATATACTGGTTAACAGTTTGTCATTAAAGACACATTTGGAACAGTGCGAGGCACGACCAGTCGGCACACAATATGGTTATATCCACATGTGATTAGTGTCAGAGACCAGCAGTAATACTGTTGTTGTGTTGTAATAAAAGGCCCTGCAACCCAAAATGGCCCCTTCGCTATTGTCTCCACAAGCTCTGTTTCCTCAAGTTCCTGTTTACACCTCCCCTCCCAGTTCGCTCACATACCTTGTCTCCATGCAATGCTGACATTTTTAGTACTAGCACAGTGATTGTGTTTTACTAAATGGAATGCTCAGATAGCAAAACTATTACCAACCATGTGATAGTTGGGTTAGTGAGCATACACTCCTAGATGTAGGTGGAATTTCTTATCATAAAACTCACTCTGAGGGTGTGTATGACTACATCCTGAGCTTCAAGTTCCCCCTCCAGAATACTGAGGAGAGTCAGCAGCTCTGCTCTGCTCAGAGCCTCCACGTTCATCTTCTCCACCTGAAGCGAGAAACGGCAAAAATGAAATAAATAGGATGTAACATTAATAATGTCAGAAGAATCCTTAAAAATGAAGACGCAGGTTTATAAATGGGTTTATGTGGCACAGAGGGGACTGTGGATTGTTGGATTTGAAATTTGAACAAAGGTAATTGACAGTGGGATATGGGGTCCCATCTGTGGCCGCCTCAGAGCTGTAATAAACAGGAAGCTATTAGCATATCTGCACATTTAGTGGCTCTGGGACTGAAGAACGTCTGCTCTGTTGAGGTCCTCTAATCCCAAGATAGTTAGACAAATTTGATGTCTTCAAAGACTTTTTTTTTTAGGTCTTAATCATCCTGCACCTAATCTGCTTGATCCTGTCATTCATCAGCGAGGCCCTGTGATGACTGGGGCCACCCATAACGCACTTCACACAGCTGGCATCATCTGTAAAACTGTAAGAAAGACTAAACCAGGAGTGTCCAAACGTTTTCCTATGTGGGCGAAAACTATCAAGACGAAAGGGCTCATGGGCCACAAATATATGAATTTAACTCTCTCATCGTGAACCATATTTTGGAAAAAGGACAAAAATTTAGGGCAGCATGGTGGCGCAACTGGCAGAGCTGCTGCCTCTCAGCGAGTAGGTCCTTGGTTCAAACCCCGGTCCAGGGGCCTTTCTGGGTGGAGTTTGCATGTTCTCTCTGTGCATGCGTGGGTTTTCTCCGGGTGCTCCGGTTTCCTCCCACAGACCAAAAACATGCATGTTAGGCTGATTGGTAACTCTAAATTGTCCCTAGGTGTGAATGAGAGAGTGAATGGTTGTTTGTCTCGTTTGTCTCTATGTGTCCCTGTGATGGACTTGCGACCCGTCCAGGGTGTACCCCGCCCCTCGCACAGTGATCGCTGGACATGGGCACCAGCGACCCCCGTGACCCAAAATGGAATAAGCGGGTAAAGATAATGGATGGATGGATGGACAAAAATTTACTAATTTTGGTGGAGAAAGATTTAAATTGTTGTAGATCCAAAACATTAAAAGCTTCATAAACACTAAGTTTATATGCTTGATTAAAAAGGGATTTGATTTATTTTATTTTTGGGGGGGTTAAGTTTGTTATTTTCTTGGGTTTGGAAAGTTCATTTCAGTCTGTTCCAACTTGTCAGTCGCTACAACAGATTCATAGAAGATTTAACAAAGTTGATCAACTCGTATGCAGATGATACCACGTTATTTTCATTTAAAAATGTCCAGTTTCCTTCTTGATTATTTTACCAACTGCAATATTTAGCCAAGTTTTATGAATCATTATCCAAAAGTCTCCTTTCTGGTAGAAATCAGTAAAGGTTTTTGGTGCTTTGTACCACAAAATGAAAAAATAAAGATTATAGCCAAAGATTTCTACTTTGCTTAATATTATTCATTTTGAGAAGATTGTCTTTCATCCGTTTTGCTGTTAAACCTAAACATTATATAAAAAAGGATTACCAACTAATCTGCAGAAAGTCTGCATTGACCTCTTAAGCCTCCTGGCCAAAATGATACCATTCTTAAACTGCAGCTGTGGGCCGCACTAAATCACTCCAAGGGCCGCAAATGGCCCACGAGCCGCACTTTGGACACCCGTGGACTAAACAAAACACAACACCCAAAGTTTTTTTTTTGTTCTTTTTAAAAAAGAGATGAAGTTGCTGTCAGCTCCTCGGATTGCGTTTGCTCCCCTGAGTGTTAATAACATGTTTAACACGGTGCATGTGAGCGGTGAAGTCAGAAGTTCTGTAATGATCAGCTTGCTGTTCACGCCCCACACTGTGGTTTAATAAAGTGCCCAGTTATTGTTTTTCAGAAACTCTGCACAACTCTTACACAAGACATATCAATGATCTGCCATGTGGGTCTTAAATCTAAAGCGGCCCATTTGAGTTTTAATCTGCTGCTGGCGAACGCACAAAACTTTTATTTATTTTTTTTATTTTTTTTATTTATTATTAAACCAGCAAGTAACCCTGTAGGGAAACACCTGCAATCAGTTTTTCTTAGTTTGGCTTTTATTTAAACCATGAGTGAAATGAGCTCCTTTTCTCTCAGTCTGAAAGATGAGGGTGTTTACTTCTTTACAGAAGTATCCCAGAACATTCTCTGACTCCCCAGAATTCCTCCGAGTTTTCGGTGGCTAGCCACACACTCATAACAGAGCATCCATTTTTATTTACAAGCTACTAACTTAGAGATTCTCAAAGTGGTTCCCAGTCTTGCCTCTAATCATACATTTGGTTGCATACTTTGATATTAATTTAAGTGTGAGTGTGCATTTTAGCTGTTGGCCTGGCTTCCTATTTGTCACTCGATATCCAGTTTTTATAAAATCAGCTACCATGGAAAATCCTTGCAGCATTCCAGGGATACCCACACCATGGGAACCATGGAGCCCACACACCCTAAAGTGGCAATGATGCAGTCTGGCTGTGTGAGATGACTCAAGAAACTGTAAAGTATTTTAATGAGTTTGCTTTAATTTAATTTAATAGAAGGAAACTGAAAACACCTAATAAGATTTGTTGGCTGAGGGTGAAAGTCTGTCATGTTCCAGCATGTTTACCTGCTTCAGTCTCACCAGAGGAGGTTTACTGTTTTATTTTTCCTGCCTTTATTAGTTTTTACCTCAGACTGGGTCAGAGGTGATGATAATGAGAGGTTGGGTTTTCACAGAGAACCACCTGCCGACACCACGGGCCTTTGTCTGACACATGGCACTGTCATTATAGTCAAAGATGGCAACGCAGACCTCACAAAAAAAAACATCACATTAGCTTTCATTTGTCTTGTGAAGATAGTAAAATCAATACTGCATGACTATTATTGAACTCACACCCATTTGAATGAAACTGAATTTAATATAAACCTCATCAAAGCTCTACCATTGTTTTTTTTTTTATATATATATTTATTATTGCAAGCTTCTATTTAAAATGTGCTTTTAAAGCCACATGTGCAAGAACATATCAGGTTGGGTGAACCCTGTCATACTTTTACCTTTCTTTAATAAACAATAAAATATAAACCAAACTACAGATAGGATCTTTAAATGCCCGTTTGCTGTTTCCTCGGCCACCGTGTGAACGTACCTTCATGCGCTCTTGTCTGATCGCTTTAATTGTTCTCCAAAAAGCCCAGAAATGAGACTCCACAACACCATGAATCAAAGCCCTCCACTGTCACAGGCGCCTCTCTGGGCTTCGGAGAGCGTGGACACGAGAGACGCTCAGTGACGAGGCAGCCAGCCAATCAGAGAGTAGCAGCGCAGCCAAACGGACCAATCGTTCAACGAGTTGTCCGAAAAGGGGCGGGGATAGTTGTGTCCCGGGGTCTGTGAGTTAAACCTCTTTGTTTGGGACGCCCAACGTTGGATCTCTGCCCACTCGTGTTTTGTTGTGGGGCTCAGCTACAGTAAAAACTGTTCATATGTGTGTAAGTGTTTCACCTGCTCTGAAATATTTGTTGTAAACTCTAAATGTAGCGCATGGAAAGTGCAGTTCTTTTTGTCTAGGGGCGTAAAAAATGTAAAAAAAAAAAAAAAAAAGACCACAACGTGTCTTCACCTGCACAAACAACTTTTAATTAAATTACAATTAAAAATTAAATTAAACTTTTTGTTTTCTTACCTTAAACCACTACTCCCTCCTCACCTCACTCATCAATACAAAGTACAATTAAAAAAGAGGAGCTAGTGTTTCCCAAGATGCTTTAACTCCCCTTCATGGCCAAATGATGGCATCACACCTCATCTGTCGCTGGAAAACATTTTTATTAGAACAATAAGTCTTTGTCAGAATAGTTCCTTATATAGACCGTTTGTACTCTCTAAATTCAGCTTCTAATCTGAATTTTGCAACAAACCTTAGGTGCATCTAATCTATACTATCCATCCATCCATCCATCCATGCATGGGTGGTTCCTTCCATTGAAAGAACATGAAAACAAAAAGTTCTGTAACTGGATCTGTGTTTATTGGACGGACAACAGAAAGGAACTTCAGCCAGTTCAAGAGTTACAAAAGCAGAATTTTCTTCTCATATTGAGAATAAAGTTCAAGGATTCAATGTTCTTTATTTGTCATACATACATGTGGTGGAACAAAGTTGTGTACACAGGGTCCCAGTTACATCCAACAAAAGTATTAAAATGTAAAAGAAAAACAGTAATAACATCGAAGATATGAACTAAGAAAAGCATGAACTAAAAATACACTGAGCATTAGTAGCATAAAAACAATACGTTGAACAGCAGCACGAACATGAGTCTGTGAGCAGATGAGTAAGAATGAACACATCAGCATGAAACAGATCAGCAGCAACATGATGTGGGGTTTTTTTCCACAGTGATTATTCTGGTTAGATATTCATGAGTCTAACAGCTTCAGGGTAGAAGCTGTTCCTCCGTCTAGTGGTTCTACACTTAATGCTCCTCAACCTCCTTCATGAGGGGAGCGGGGCAAAAAGTGTGTGCTGGGTGAGTGGGGTCCTTCATGATGCAGTGGCTCTCTTCCTGCATCTGGAGGTGTAGATGTCTGTGATGGTGGGAAGGTTGACTCCAACAGTCTTCTGTGCAGCCTTCACCACTCTCTGCAAAGCTTTTCTTTCTGCAGCTGTGCAGCCTCCATGCCAGACGTTGATGCTGGAGCACAGGATGCTCTCCACTGCACATCTGTAGAAGGAGGTGAGGACTGAGCTTCCCAGACCAGCTCGCCTCAGCCGTCTGAGGAAATTGTCATTTTATTCAAAATTTAATTTTTTTTCAAAATTCAAACTTTCAAAATTGTCATTTTGTTTGGGAATACACATTTTTGAAGCCTTTGTGTGCTGAAGGCTCTACAAGTCTCACCTGACTCCACCGAGTGTCAGTGTTTTAAATTTGCTAAATTGTAAGGCATTGTTAACGACCTCAAATTTAAGCAGTATTGCTATAATCTGGTGTAATGCACATTTTATATCTCTGGAAATAAGACAGTTAGTAATACAGTCTTTAGTTCTTTGTCAACTTCAATATCAGCTGTTTGGTCAAAAAACATCTGGATAAACTGCAGGTAGTTCAAAATAAAGCTGCAAGACTAGCACTCAAATGTCATTTTAGAACAAACGTCAATTTTATGCATCAGTGCCTGCATGAATGAAAGTCCGTGACAGACTCTTTACACAAAATCTGGACTTCACATAAACCGTTCTGCCTTTTCTCACTGTTACCCACCTGCAACAGACATGCTTTTAATACTAGACGAGCCTCAGTTCTTACATTACCTCTGCCTGACTAATTCTCTCAAAAGAACAGCTCGAGCAATTTCTTATTGGAAAATGCTGCCTTCTGTAATTACATTAATTGCTGAACATGTTAATTTAAAAAAAGAATCTTAAAAACATCTATAATAGATAATGAAATAAAATTGAATTGATGAAATGATAAATTTATAATAGAAATGAAAATTATTTGTTAACTTTGGAACTGGTGAATTTTTGTGTTTTTAATTCTTGCGTGTTTTAAAGTATTTCATCATTTTATAATGCTCGCAAAATGTTACTGAGATGATTGCTTTGAATTTTTTATAGTTTGATTTTGTTTTTATCTTAGGTATTATGTCTTTTTGTATGTTTGTAAAAGCTTGATTTAATTGCAATGTTTGCAGTGTGGACCGCAGGTAGAGTAGTCTCTACTATGGTAGAAACTAATGGGGATCCTTACATAAACAAATAAATAAGCAATGTTTAAATGTTAGCACATTCATATCTTAAGACTAATAAACGTGAAGGCCTATAGCATTCCTTGAAGGAATGCATATCACCTGCCATCTTTTGTGCGAGCGTTTTAGACTAAAATCATGATACAAATGAATCTGTTGTAGAAATTTAATAAAAACTCTCCAGGAGTTCATGAGATACTGCACTAACAGACAGCGTTAACTTTAGAAAAGTTAATTACATAGTTATAAACAAAGATATTGCACAATTATTTAGCACTCAGATAATGTGGATCAGTTTCAGCTACAACCACATCAAAGTTTATCAGAACATTATTAAACCGACCTTGTGTGGGCCTGCTCTAGAGTGAAATAAGACAACTGGAGGGTGCACTGGATATAAAAATGTGAAAATGCTGCATATGATCGTACCAACCACAGAGAACAGAGAAAGCATGTCTCATTTCACATGTAAGCAGATTTTCTTATTTATCTCAATGCGGATGTGATCCGACTATAATTGAAGCTAATAATGTAACCATTTAAAATTAAAATTAGCTTATAAAGCCGAAGTAATCGCTGATAATTGCTTCTATGGCATATATTGTTATACAACGCTGAATCATGCCACAATTAAGCACAAATTACTAAATACCGGTACTGCAACCTGGTATTGCACAACCAGCCAGGAAATACTGACCACGTATTACCAGCTGTGAATTAACGAGGCGATCAAATTTAAACTTCTTTACAGCTTTCACGGTGAAATATTATCACTGAAAAGTTCGTCAAAGCTGTTACAGTCTGTGCATTTTCTCCTTGTGATTTAAACCGTAAAGGATAAGAAAAGTACAACCAGAAGCCACAGGTGCAGAAAGGAAGGACACTGAAGTGGAATTATGTAAAGATACAAAGAAGCTATCCAGATGACCTGACTGAAAATTGTTGGATTGTGTACCTGGATCATTGAGCATGGACTTTGTTGGTTTTGAACCAGTTTGACATGACTGTCGACGAGGGAGAGGGCCGGCACCGGAGGAGGGGGCGTGCCAAATAGACCATCTTAGCATCAACATAACTGGTTTGTTCCACTGGGGGGGGGGGGGGGGGGGGAGGAATCAGTTTTGTATTGTGTGTTTCCTTGACTGATGAAGCCTTCTGGATGGAAGGTGAAACGTTTCAGCACAAAAAAAAAGAAACTGTCCAGATGACCTGACTGAAATTTGTTGGATTGTATACCTGGATTATTGAGCATGGACTTTGTTGCTACAAAGATACTGTTAATCCGTTAAGAAATAAAAAATAATTTTTAATCTGCACATGCATGCATTTTGTCGAGTTGGATTTTAATCATCTTTGAACCTTTTTTGCTGTATAGCTCAAACCCATTGCTCTCTATACCCATGTAAACTTGTGTGACATTACTTCAGGACAATATATTGAATGTGTTCTTACATTTGTCTTCTGACATGAGACTATGCTGAAGGTCTAAAAGATCTTTCTTTACAATTACCAATTTAATCAGTGAGAGTGAATCACATGTCAGTAAAGTTCCTTGGCAGTGCAATGAGGAAAAGGATAAATATCACAGCCTTAGAATAAATCTCAGCGTGGTTCAGCACTGCACCTTTACACACCCTGAATGATGAGTATAGCTACAAACTAAACCTTGTGATGAAATGTATCCAGCTCAAAATATTCTAACCTTTGACATCAGTGTTCTAAAGTGAAATACTGATAACCTTCAGGAGGTATTAAATTAACCACAGTATTTGGAGATTCACACCCTGCTCCTTATAAAGCTTTTTTTTTCTTGTTAACTGCAGAAAACACATTACTGTAATTACTGCAAACAAAATGTAAAGATGATAGCAACTGTTGAAAGATTTAACTCCTCTGAGAATATATGTATATTAACCAGAAGTCATAAAAGATTGGTTTAATTGGATTATTTTTCTGTTATATTTTAACAAAGAGAACTCTTGTTCATTATATATTCACAAGATGTTTTATCTTTTTTTTATCTTCAAACTGAGACAGCAAATCCTTTGAAATTCACTTTTTTATAATATAAACGAATCATCACATATAAAATGTTAATGCTCAAAGCAATAACACCCAGATAAACAGAAAGAGACTTTCCTTTAAAAATGTGTTTTTAAATTTATTTAACTTGACACAATGACCTCTACAGCGTTTTTACACACCAGTATGTTGATGGGAATGGAAACAAACTAAGATCACTTAGATGACACATCAGTTGTGTGTTAACTATATTATAGGTTGTTGAAATGCTGTGGCAGAAATAACAACTTACAGACTTTATTAATGTAAAACGCATGACATATGATGAATCATAGCTTTTATTGTTCTTAAAATCTACACTTTATTGTTTCAGCTTCTTGCTTCTGATGACAGTTTGTGTTAAAATGATGTCATCTCTAAAAATAATCGAACCAGACAGTTTTTCTGTTCATAGACCTTTGTGCCAGTTTTGCAGATGTGG